GAGCCCCCCCCCCCCCCAAACCACCCACACACCCACTCACCCAAAGGGCATCTTCATGGGGGGGTCGGCCAACCAGCTGGGCCACCCGTTGCGCATCGAGGCCGCCGACGCGGCGGTGTTCGGCTACGTGCTGCTGAATGACTGGTCGGCGCGCGACCTGCAGAAGTGGGAGTACGTGCCGTTGGGGCCCTTCACCTCCAAGAACTGGGCCACCAGCATCAGCCCCTGGGTGGTGACCGCCGCCGCGCTGGAGCCCTTCCGCGTCCCCGCGCCCACCCAGGACCCAGCGCCCCCGGCATACCTGCGTTCGCAGGCTGGCTGCAACTACGACCTGGACTTGCGCGTGGGCGTCGCGCCAGCGGGGCGCGCGGGGCCAGACCCCGTCACGCACACCAACATGCGCACGCTGTACTGGACCCCGGCGCAGATGGCCGCGCACCACACCGTCAGCGGCTGCCCGCTCGTCCCGGGCGACCTGCTTGGCACGGGGACCATCAGCAGCGAGGTGGGCTCTTCGGGTGCGGAAGCATTGGGGGTCCCGTGGTCATCTGGACGCGAGGCATGCCGCACCGGCTGTGGGCTGCGCCAAGACACGCTTTGCTCGGCGTACTCCGTGCCAGCGCGGGCTGAATGTTTTGAGAGCCGATCAGCTGCCATGGGGTTTCTGGAGTGCTTGCTGACCAGGGAGCCTCCGATCGGCATGGGCAATCAAGGTGCACAGGCAGGCAGCCATGCTCCTCATTCCTCTGCTGCTGTCGGGCACCACGCTGGCATCGGCACGCCTGCGCGCCACTCAATCCTTCTGACCTCCTCCACCTCCCTTCCCCTGATGCCCACACTCGCAGGGCCCGGGCGGCGCGGGGTGCCTGCTGGAGGCGACGCTGAACGGGACGAAACCTGTGGCACTCCAGAGCGCCGGCACGCACCGCGCCTGGCTGCAGGACGGCGACAGGGTGGTCCTCACCGGCCACTGTCAGGGCGAGGGTTACCGCGTGGGGTTCGGGGAGTGCGCCGGCACCCTGCTGCCCGCCCTGGACCTCACCTTGGCCTAGGCGCGAGAGGGGCCGCCTAGGGGACCCTCCTGTGGGTCAATGGTTCAAAGTGCTTCCCACCTCGCCTCGGCTTCGATCACTCAGATTACAGGCTCTCACCCAATGACCCTGCTCCGTGCGCTCTGCCGCCCCCTATGATAACGCATGACCAGGGAAGGCGGCCCTACCCCTGAATGTGTCGCGGAGTACAAACGCCCGTCCGCCTGCTCGATCCAAATTGCCCCACCCGCGCCTGTACTCGAAGGCGTGTTAGTTGACAATACAACACTGTGGGTAGCAACGTGCAAAGTCAGTACGCACACAAATGCTGAAGAGCAGGCATCCCTGCAGCGAAAACATACAGGCCCACTCAGCTCAGCACGCACACCGCCTCGGGCTCCCTCTGCTGTGGCCTGCCACCGGAGTGCGACCTTTCCACATGCTCCACGAGCTGGACAGGGTCGTGGAAGCGCAGCTCACACAGCGGGCAGGCTTCCCGCAGCAGCCGGGCGCCGCTGGCCCAGCTGTCGCGGTGCGCGACCTCGGCGTGGGCTATGAGCTGCCCCACGTCGGCAAAGCAGTCGCCGCAGGCAGGGCATTCCTCGTTCGCGGAAGAGGGCGGGGCTCGGGGCTGGGAGCCCGCTTGAGAAGAGCGTGGCGTCGCATGGGGCTCCCAAGCAGAAGCCGGCACCCCAGCCGTGCTGCTGCTGGGTCTGGCGGCCTCCCCCTGGGATGGGAGTTGCTGCCTGCGCCGGCCCTGGCCTTTCGCCGGCGTCCCTCGCGCAGTGCTGCCGCTGAAAAGATTGGAAAAGGCAGCGGCCACCCTGCTCTGCGCCGCAGCAGCCGCAACTGCGCCTGCAGAGGAGCGTCCCTGTGCCCTGCTGCCCCCGGGTGCCGCAAGGCTGGTGCAGGCGTGGTCCGAGGGCAGCCGGTGGGCCAGGCAGACCGTGGTCCCGCAGTCCTTGCAGGTGAACGCCGAGACGCTGGTCAGGCGCTCACGGCAGCGTGGCGCGGGGCAGCGGGGTTTGTGATGTACCTTGGAGTAGTTGGAGGGGTCGCAGGCCCCGCTGCTTGCGTGCCTGGGAAGGGAAGAAGAGCGGCATACAGCGAGAGGCTGGTTAACAACGCGGCATTGAAGTTCTCGACGGGCATGGCCATGCTCGCGAGACCTTGGCAACGCGAGCCCCATTCCACCCAACTACACAGCTTACTTCTCGAATGCCGCGTCGGGAGACTCTCCCGGCCGTGGGCGAATGGCCAGGGCGCACACGGGGCAGACAAGAGTTCCAGGCTCTGCATCTCTGCGTGCACACTCATGCTGTGCCTGGGAACGGTGTTCCAGGCAGAACACTCCACGACAATGCTTGCATGTGAATGGTAGGAAGTCCAGCTGGTTGCAGTCGGGAAAAGCGCAGTGGGTGCCTACGCTGAGGAGATCAGCCTCGTCCGCGTCCCCCACAGCCATGCCAGAGGAGCCGCGTGTGCGACAGGGGATAATAAACTTGTTACTTGTAGCCAAATAATTGGGAAACTCTAGATATTTGCGCGAGATCATTCCCACCTGTGCATGTCGGTCTCGAAGCCACCATAATTTTACGTGATGGTTTGAGTAATGGAGGTCCAAGAACGACCAGGATAGACAGACATCACCTTGCCCCGTGATCTTTATGCACATGACAAGATACAATTGCCATTCAGGAGACGGCATAGGAGGAGTGACCTCGTGGGTTTTCCAAACTCCACTCGCTGTACCTTCCCTCCACCTCTTCTATTGGAGCTCTGCCTGGCTTGCTGTGAAGATGCATACCTCCTGCTGAAGTGTAAATGACTTCCATGTGCGGTGTGTGCATTCAATCACAGCCATTTACCTGTGCTGAAAGCTGGAGGGCGTTCGTCCTTACTAACCTGGATCAAGAGGGGGAGAATGTCAAGTTATTTGGCCCTTCCACTCCACTGCTGCAGCGATCTACTTGAAGGTCACGACAGATCGCGCCTCCGAGATAAATAAAGATCAGAATCCATGCTCCCAGACAGAACGTTGGTTCACAAGCTTAACTGCTGAACAGGCCAAATTTGCGACGGTATGCTGCAGGCTGCGGCCCGTCGCGGGGGCCTGCGCCTGCTTGGGGCACCACATCGCCCCTCGCAAGCCCTGATCGACGCATCTGGGGCTCAAAGGTTATATTCCGCCGGCATTGACGGTGCTCGCGCGGGTGTGCAGACGGCCGAAACGTCGTCCCCAGCCTCAGCTCCAAAGGCCCCTGCGGTGCTGCAGCTGCACAGCGACGAAGAGGTCCAGACTGCACTCAATGCTCTCGGTGGGTACATGCGAGATGGTCATGACCTTCGGGCTTGGGTAGATCGGAGCAGGGAAGCGGCAATGCCGGAGCAGCAGCGCGGCTGCCTGTGTTGCAGCACCGAGATTCCTCTCCTACATCTAACCCGTGCAGGTGCCCATGGCCTTGCCATCCTGGACTTCACGGCCGTCTGGTGCCCCCCCTGCAAGATGATCGCGCCACTGTATGAGCAGCTTGCTGCAAGTCACCCCGCCATCAACTTCTACAAGGTCGACATTGATGGGGAGGCCGTCAGGGGCACCGTCCTGGAGCAGGCGGTCTCCTCCGTGCCCACCTTTGTGTCGTACCGCGGCGGCAAGCGCCTGGACCAGTTCAGCGGCGCTGACCGGGCCGCGCTGCAGCTCATGGTGGATGCACTGAGCAGCGCCGCAGCATGATGGCAGAGAGAGTTACTGAGGCCGGCGGCGAGTGAGAGGATGGGAGAAGCATGTGGCGCGAGACAGTGAGAAGGCAGGACAACAGACAAGCAACCCCATCATGTGGCCGTGCAGCTCATGGAGCTGCATTCCTGTCAGGGAGGGCTCATCGTCGAGGCAGAGAGCCTCTGGGAGCCTACTATTATTAATGGTGCCATCACAGCCAACCTCCTCTCCCAGAGGTTGTGAGCCCCCGAGTGTTAGACTCTCGTCAACTCCGCTGCACTGCATCTCTGTGCTGTTCGACATCGAGCGCTGCGTCCGTCGAGATTCCAGCATGCTACCCCTCCTCCAGGTATTCCACCGCATCCCATTGCTCTGCACCACACCCCCTCTTGCGAGCACCGTTCATCAGATGCGTCTGACTGCTCGCCCTATGAGCCCGACTGTTTACCCTGTCCTGTACAGTATGTCGGCACCAAGGCTTGAGAGTTACAGGAGGGTTAGGGTGGGCAGTCCTTGCTTGCGCGCAGACGGATCATCCAACATCAGGGACCCAGCTCAGAGCTCCTGGACGTGCAGCCCTGCGAGACGGGAGAACGAGGGGCAAAGTTTAGACCAGTTGAATGACCTCAGCAGGGCTGGTGTCTTCCGGCAAAACACCTGGCTGTGGGCTGCACTGTACCCACCTGGTGGCAGGGACTGCTTCAGCTTGTCGGCCTTGTCTCCATCGGTCACGCTCAGGGTGTAGAGGTACTTGGAGCACCTGACCTTGAACTTAGTCACAGAGCCGGTCTTCTTGATCTTGACGGACCGGGCATCCTTCCGCCGGGCGGTCAGGAGGAACTCCTTGATTTCCTCGATTTGCCGGGGCTGCAAGGGGGTGGTGGAGGAGGGCGGCGTCTCTCACTGTACGAAAACACGCTATATGGTGTACTCCACGAGGTAAGGATGTCGAAAAGCGCTGAGCTTTCGACAATCGTGAGTTCGCCTCCCAGCGGGGTGCAGTGGCGAGCTCCGGCATCCGAGCAGGTTACACAACCTTGCCGCCCTCACCATGGTGCTCCTCTTCTACTTCTGAGAGAATCAGGTGGTCCAGCTGGAAGAGGGAGAACCGGTACGGACAAAGACTGGTATGGGCGGGGGGAGAGAGCCGCCCGGTATTGTCGTGTGCAGTACCATCGGCGGGAATGGGTACGACGACGTAAGCCCCACCCAGACAGACGCAGAGAGCCAAAGACACCCTGGTGCAGTGCTAAACTTTCCCACTCACGAAAATAGACGTAGTAAAGAGGGAAGAGTGGACGTTTGAGGCCAACAATGGATCCTGTTTCCATGGTGTGCACCCTGACATACAGGAAGGGTAGGTTGACATGCCTTCATGTATGCCAAAAGAAGCTCCTGATTGTAGAGCTGCATCCATTCCTGTAAACTTCCAAAATGATGACAATCCAGGCATATCTTGGAGCCTCAAGCAACCCACCACTTGGGCCCATCCTGCTCGCTGACTTTCTGAGCCCACTCACGTTATCTGGCAATAAATCTCAAGGCCTCAACTGCTCCATATAAAGAGCATTATCGAGATAGCTCACAACCATCACGTCTCTCCGGATCCCAGCACTAGCGTGCACTGTAAATAAGCATGATCATTTATGCTTCACGCACAGCTCGAGTGGCTATGGAAGCTTTGCAGATGTCTGATACATGGCACACCCCACAAGCATTCCTTCTGCCTGACTCCATTCCTACAATACGAATCCGACTCGCAACATCTACAAGAGAGAGGTGTGATCCTCAGATGGTCGGCACGTCCCTGCTCTTGATCCAAATGCTCAGATCACTTCATCCTACTTTCCCCACTCCACCGCATCAGTCTCCCCTCCTCGCGACCATCAATGCATCCTCATGAACCCTGGCGGGGCGAAATGCACCGTCATTCCCGGTGCTCTAGAATGAAGATTCTCACGCCATTGCTCCTTGCCACCTTGCAATCGGTGGCCCGCTGATCAGTCCGCCACGAAGGCGAGGGAGGTGGTGGTAGGAGGGATGCCTCCTGCCAAGCTGGCCACCCTCCTGCGCCAGCTGGACTCCCTCTCGCGCCTGTCGGCCACCTCCTTACCTTCCAAGTACATGCCTCATGCCGGCTTCTCCTGGGCGCCTTTCGGCTGCGCCCGGGCCCTGCGCACCTGCACCCCAACCCGGGCGAGCTTCTCCCGCAGCCCGGATGCCCGCCCCGCCCCCCCCTGCCTCCCCCATGGCCCGCTCCTGGACCGGGGCCCCTGGCGGCACGCCCGCCGGATGAGCGTGGAGGTGGCCGCTGCCCGCCACTCGGGCGGGCCCCAGGGTGTAAACCCGGGCGCCCTTGTCCAGTTCCGTCGCGGCGAGGAGTTCCACCTGGGGCGCGTGGTGCGCCCCAACTCCCGCGGCTGGCAGGTGCAGGACGCGTCGGGGGCGCTGTACGGCATCCGCGCCCAGGACATCGCGTACCGCCTGCCCGGCGAGGACGCTGACCTGGCGGTGCTGACCGCGGAGGTGGAGGGCATGCTGGACCCGGCCCTGCTGGCTCTGGGGTGGGAGGTGTCGGAGGCCTCCGCGCTGTACAGCGTGGCCCAGATGGCCAGCTTCCTGTACGGGTCGGAGGGCCCCGCGGCGCGCGCCGCCGCGCACCGCCTGCTTCAGCAGGACGGCACCTTCTTCAAGCAGGTGGGGCGAGAGCCGCCCCTCTTCTCCCCCCGCCCCGCGGCGGCGGTGGAGGCGCTGCGCACCGAGCGCGCCGCGCGCGAAGCCGCGCGCGCCGCCGCCGCCGAGTTCCAGGCCGCCGTGCACGCCGCGCGGCGCGCGCCGCCGGGGTCAAAGCCCCCGCCTGGGGCCTGGGCGGCGGGGCCGCACGCCGAGCGCATGGCTACGCTGGCCGCCTACGCGCTGGGCCGCGCCACGGTGCGCGAACACGCGCGTGCGGTCAACCTGCTGCACGACCTGCATGCCTCGCCCACCGCGCACGCAGCGGGCGCGCTGCTGCAGGAGGTCGGCGCGCTGCCCGCCGACGTCGACCTGGCGCTGCTGGCGGCTGGGTACTCGCCCCACTTCGCGCCGGGGCTGGAGGCCGCCGCGGCGCGCCTGGCCGCCGACCCGCCCCCGGACCCCGACGCGGGCCGGCGCCGCGACCTCACCCGCCTCCCCTGCGTCACCATCGACGACGACAGCACCACCGAGGTGGACGACGGCCTGGCGGTGGAGGCCACGCCTGACGGCCGCCTGCGGGTGTGGGTGCACGTCGCCGACCCCGCGCGCTGGGTGCAGCCCGGGTCGGAGCTGGCACGGGAGGCCGCGCGCCGGGCCAAGTCGGTCTACCTGCCCAACGCGCTGGTGCCCATGTTCCCCCTGGCCCTGGCAGAGGGGCCATTCAGTCTGACCCAGGACGTCGCGGGGCCCGCGCTGAGCTTCGGCTTTGTCCTCAATGAAGGTGTGTGTTGGTTGCGTGTGGGGGGAAAGAGGTCTTTTGTGGGGGAGAGGGGGTGGCGGCGCCTGGACGGGGTTTGGTATTGCTATTCTGTGCTGACACCACATGCCGTGGAGGCAATCGCTGGGCTGGCGAACAGCAGCGCCGCCCCTACCAACTCCGTCTGGTGCTTGCCTGCTCCTTTTATTTGTTTGTAGACAGTCACCAGGGACTGCGGCTCTGGTGTCCCCTGGCCCAGTTTTTCAACATCCGCCCCCCTCACACTGTATGCCTGTGCAGACGGGTCGCTGGACGCAGACTCCATAGAGGCCTGCCCCTCGATCGTGTGCCCATCCCGGCGGCTGAGCTACGACGACGTGGACAGCATGCTGCTGGAATGCACGCCGGAGCAGGAGCCAGACATGTTCCGGCTGCATGCGGTACGGGGGGGGCGACAGGGGGTATGGGCTGTCGTGCTTTGCATGATTGATCGGGGGTCTGCAGGCTGAGCGTGCATGGGCAGGCATACAGGACAGAGGGTGTGGCAGGAAAGATGGGAGTGAGGCGATGAGGTGAATGGCAGGGACGCTCCGTCCCCCATCCAGTGATCCCTCTGCACTCATTCGCTCTGGAATGGGGTGACGCTCAGGGTCACGAGGCCACAGATTCTGATCGGTGGGAGTACCGAGCGGTAGCCGACAGCGTGCTGCTCCTGCAATCCTCACACCCCTTACGGAACCCACTCCCTGGTTCATCCCCACAGGCGTCACTCGCGCGCGTGGCATGGCGCACAAGCCAGGGCGCCATCCAGTTCTCCATGCCGGAGGCCTCCATCGGCCTGGCCAGCGGCCCCGACGGGCGGCAGCGTGTGACCATCCAGGACCTGCAGTCACGGGAGTCGGCCTCGCGCCTGCTGGTGGCGGAGATGATGATCGCGGCGGGGGAGGCCGCCGCACTCCTAGGTGAGCGCGGTGGGATTGGAGGAGGTGGTGTCCGGCACAGACTTCCGAGCACCGGCAAGTGTTCCATGTGGTGCCACGCATGCACACCCTCCTCGCTTTCACCCAACTGAACCCTCCTCTCAGGCCCGCGACTGGGCGTGGCGCTGCCGTACCGCGGCCAGCCCGCCCCCGTCCTGCCCAGCGAGGAAGAGCTCGGGGCGCTGCCGGCGGGTCTGGCGCGTGACGCGCTGCTCCGCTCGCGCATGATGCGCAGCGCCATGGGCGTGGAGCGGCCGCTGCCCCACGCGGGCCTTGGCCTGCCCGGCTACGTCCAGGTCACCTCCCCGATCCGGCGCTACAGCGATCTGCTGGCACACTGGCAGCTCAAGGCGGCGCTGGCGAGCGCGGGCGGGGCCGGGCCCGGGGCGACGGATGGTGCAGCGACCGATGCGGCGACCAGTGGCCCGCCTTTCACCCCGGAGGCCCTGGCCATGGAGGTGGACACCACCACCAGCATCACGCAGGCGGTGCGAGCGTGTATGACTGGAGTGGCTCGTGCAGATGGGGCTGCACTACCTGTTCCGCCTTGGGGCTGTGGCGACTGACTCTCGCTCGTGTCATGGTCAATGCGCCGCCGGCTGCAAGTTCTCCAGGCAGGGATACGAAGCCTGACGCTGGCGGCCGTGACCGGGCCCAGCCCCTGGCAGTGTCGTTGTCTCCCTTTGCTCTCATAGAACCGGTACACTCCTTCCCTCCCCCTTGTATCATCATTCTTGGGAGCCCGGTCCATCCACTCACACACTCACACACTCTCCAAAACCCCGGCATCCCCCTTTACAGGCGCTGAAGATCGAGCGGGAGGTGGAGTCTCGGTGGGTGGCCCGCTACTTTGAGGAGCGGCTGGCAGAGGACCCGGGCAGCACCTGGTCTGGCACCATGCTCTCCTGGCTGCGCCAGGAGCTGGGCCTGGCCAAGGTCGCGCTGGACTACCTGGGCCTGGAGATGGTGGTGCGGGTCAGCCGCCCCGTCACGCCCGGCACGCGCTTTGCGCTACGCTGCACCAACGTGGACCGCGACACCGGGGTGGTGCAGCTGGAGGCAGGGGCCAACGTGCGATGATGAGGAGGAGGGTGGTTGGCGAGAGCCTTGTCGCGGTCAGGACGCCTGGCGACCTATATGTGCGGGCCCTGGTGCTCAACCCCCCCTTGACACTGCACGTGTGGTGACATGCCATCAAGGCATGCCGTGCAACAGCGACTTGCAAACCTGATTGTTGGCACACTGACAATGTAGGGTGCGGGAGCTCCTTGCCTGACCCCCTGTGCCAGACACAAAACAAGGTCCAGCCAGGAAGTCATGCCTTGTTGATCTCGTTGGACTTCCAGAGGCCATAGCCCGTGCTCACACCCAGGAAAGCCAGGATGGTGGGCGTGAAGGCTGGGTAGACATACTTGGAAATGGTGGAGTCCACCTCTGAGCTCAGGAAGCCCTGTGTGAGGGGGGTTGAAGGTGCGAATGGGAGCCAGGGACGGTGCTGCAAGTTGCAGGGCGCGGAGGCGAGGGGTCATCCAGTCAAATCCGCCGCGAAGACCCCTGGGGTGGCATGATTCCAGCCACTCACAGATGCTGCCAGTGCCAGGCCCTCTAGGATGGCAACAGTGAAGATGCCGACCAGGAGCCTCAGCAGCACCGATTCGATGACAGACGCGGGTGCAGATGGAGGGGCCTGCTGTGGGGACGCTGGCTGGCTGCTGGAGCTCCTGGTCTCATTGGACCCGGCTTGCTTCTTGGGGCCCTTCTTCCTTACCATCTGAAGGGTAGAACTTGGGAAGTATCCCGCTGAGCACAATGCCTTGCACATTGGGGCATGCAGTTCCAAGGGATGCACGCAAGTCCAATTGGCTCGGCAATCTGATATGACTCTCACTTGTTCTATGAGGAGCTCCCGCTCCGTGGCAGTGGACTCGGCTGCATCCTCCGGCTGATCTGAACCTACTGCATGCAGTGGCCTTGCCAAGCGGTGTGGCTTGTGAAGAGAGTGCATGATGGGGATAGCGCCCGCGCGCGGCGCCCGACATTGTTGCATGGCTCCATACCGGATGCTACTACTGAGCCGGGTGCTCGAGTGTGGGCCAGACAGCGCACCATGCAAGCAGGAAGACATGGGTGGAGGGTCAGCACAGTCAATGCATGCCAATTGAACACAGTTGATACTCGGATGTGAGCTTCATATTCGTTGCTGCCGTGCTGGCCTGTCACTCCATCAACTCGATCGGGGAGGGATGTCTCGGCGTGATCTCGCGCGCTCGGGTCCCCGAGCATATACCTGGAAGCAATTTTCGAACCGAGACTTGCACGCCAGCCCTCCTTTTCCCCCGACATGCAAGTTCATCATCCCTTGTGCTAGTCCGCCTCAATCTAGAGTGTTGGACAGGCATCTCTGACCCGCGAGCGCCTCCTCGCCCTGCCACCTTCTGGCCACGTTCCCGTGCATTCGCCGTGCGCGGCACCCGCGTAGGGTCCCGGCCAGCATGTACCCCGCCCTGCCCCTCAAACACCTGGCATACTATGTGCTTTGCCTTTGGATCTGGGTGCGCCAGACCGCGCTGGAGTGGCGGGACAGGGCCAAGCAGGCCCTGCGGTCCCATGCCCCAGTCCTGTTCGCCAGGCTGGGGGGCCTGGTGCCCACCCGAGGCGTGAGCCCTCGACCCCCCACCGTGCTGGGCCTCATAGTAACCGACTTCTCCCCCCAGACCCACTTCCAGGCCCTGGCCCGCATCCTAACCTGGTGAGGGGAAATGCATGCCGCTCTTCCTTGCCTGCGGTGCCCACTTGAGCGCCTCCTTCGCTTGCCCGCCACGACCTTCGACCCCTCCGCCCCACACCCCTCCCCGCCAGGGCCCACTTCCAGGGGTACAAGGCGGTGCTGGTGTACGACCCGTCTGGGTCGCTCAAGGAGCAACGGGCGGCGCTGGAGTCCCAGCCCCAGCTGGCCACGCTGCCCGGCACACTCAACATCCAAGCGGGCTGGGGGGGGCCGCCCCTGGACACTGTCCCCGGCGTCCAGGAGAGCGTGACCTCCCACGAGACCCGGGTCGTGCTGCTGGCCGCCGAGGACAGCGAGTGGCCGCTGGACGCGGCCGCGGCGGGGTGCGGCGCGGAGGCCAAGGCCGAGTCGGCGAACGCCGCGCCGGACACCCCGCCGCGCACCCACAGCGACATGCTGGCGCAGGCGCTGGCGGCCCCCGACCGGCTGCGTCGCCGGCTGGTCACGGCGGCGGGCCCCGCAGCAGGCCTGGACCCGGACTTCCTGGTAGTGTTTGGGCCGGTGCTGGGGCTGGGCGGGTTCCCCGCCTGGGCGGCGCGCTCCTGCGAGATCTACTTTGGCGGCCCGCTGTGCCAGGCGTCTGGCTCCAAGCTGCAGAGCATCCTGAGGCGGCACGCCCGCACCAAGCTGCGGCACGGGCGGTGAAGCAGGGGGGAGGGGCGGCGTGCGCCCAGGTGCGGCCCCACTCCCGAAAGAGGCAGCAACGCCTTCAGGCACCACAGAGCAAGCACTGGTTGCCTCCAGCCCCGCAAACCCCTGACCCTGCCTGTGTGACGGCGGGCCTGTCGGCAGCGGTCTGCCAATTGTAGGCCTTCAAGTACATTCCGAGGTGCACAGCCTCATGGCAAGTGGGAAGCAAGGGCAATAGGGACAATCCAGGCAAGCGCAACGTCCAGTATGAGGGGAGGGGCCCCCAGGGGTACCATGTTCTGGAAAGGGCACAAGGATCTTGATTTTCGTTCACATTATAAGGGCTGGGGCGCAGGTCCACCCCGCATCGCCCGACAAGAGGGGAAAAACTCTGACAGCGCTCATTGCAATGTGGGCAGCAGGAGCCGGATGTTCTCCTCTGCCCTTGGGCTACTTCAGCCGGCGGGTCCCCGACTCTGGCAGAGGGAACCACAGCGTCCCCCCTGCGCGCCGGGTGGGCCCCCAGCCAGGGCGGTGAGGATAACCTCTCAGGCAGCAGCTGCCGCCCGATCGACCGCGCCGCGGTCCATGTGGCACTCACTGCGCACCAGGGTGACCGCGTCGGCGGCGTCCACCGCCGTGACGGAGTCCTTGTTCCGCACCCAGCGCCACTGTGCGTGCGTGGAGTTGAGGAGGTCCAGGGTGCCGTGCCCGAAGCTGGGCTCGCGCCAGGCAGACCAGTCGGGGCGCGGCAGCCAGTGAGTGTCCGGTCCCTCGCGATTCCCGCCGTCCCCAATGTTGCTGCACAGGAGCAGGTGTGCAGGGTTGCTTTGTGTGAGGCACTGTGCGCTGCAGCCGGAGAACCGGGGTGCACTTCCTCTCACCCACAGCATCCCACTTCCTTGCGCCGCAGGACCACGGCAGGTGCAGGGCAAGTGTTGTGGGAGCAATGAGCCCTGAGAAACACAACTGCCTCCCCTCCCTCCCCTTCCCTTCAGAATGCACGGGCATGACGTCCTCCCACCCCCCCCCTTTGTCAACATCTCCTCTCCAGAACCCACATGTAGATGGGCGCGCAGGGGTCGGGCGCGCCGTCGTACACGTGGTAGCTGCGCTCGTACGCGTGCACATGCCCCGCGAAGACCACATCCACGGCATGCTGGCGCAGCAGGGTCTCCATGCTGACGCGCATGGCCTCCGCCTCGCGCAGATGGTTCAGGTTGGAGCTGTAGAAGGGCGCGTGCATGTTGACCAGGAGCCAGGGCGTGCGGGCGCGGTCCACGGCCGCCAGGTCGGCGGCCAGCCACTCCGCCTGGTCCGAGTCCGCGCCGTGGTCGGTGTAGGAGCCGAGCATGACCACGTGGGCGCCCGCCAGGTCGTACGAGTAGTACAGCGGCGAACCCGACCCGGAGGCGGCGTGGGGAAGGTGGAAGCGGGAGGTGTAGGCCAGCCAGCTGGGCACGCCCGAGGCGCGCTCGCGCTCGTGATTGCCCTCGGTGAACATCCACACGCTGCGCGACGTCAGCGGCGACACCATGCGGTTCCAGGTGTCCCTGCGGGAGGGGGGATGGAGTGTGATCGTGGGGAGGGCTTTGGGTGGGAGGGAGGAAGAGATGCGGATGACACGCCATGACCGAGTCCTGCCGCTGCATGCCCTCAGCATGCCCTCACAAACCAGCTCATCCATACACGACTCATTCTCCCGGCTCACCACCGCTCGTGGTCGCCGTCGGCGTAAGACAGGTCGCCCACCAGCATGACAGAGGCTGGGCCGGAAGCCACCATGTGCTCCAGCGTCTCCAGCGAGTCCTCGGTCTGACCGAGGTCGCCGATCACGCCCAGCCTGTGGTGATGCATCCGATACTTGAGATTGCTTGGGGTTGGGATGCGTGGCAACTGAGGTGCACCAATGCACTCCAAACAGGGTGGACAGGCATGGCGTGGGGACTGCCTCGAGGGATTTCTTCACAGGAGGGGACGGTTGCGCCTCCCCCCCGCTTCCCATACACCATCACACCTGTACGGTAGGCTGGCGGGCCCGACGGGGGGTGGGGTGGTGAAGGCATACTCCTCGCTCCACACGCCCGCCCCAGACCCGCTCACGCGGTAAAAGATATCGGTGCTGGCTGGGAGGGGACCTGGGGATTGGCGTCAAGGGATGAGTGGTATGAAATGGAGGATTGCATGTGCCTGGGGACATGCAAGAACATTATGTCATGCCTCGACCTACGACCTCCTCTGACAATGAGGCCCCCCGATCCAACTCACCGTCCAGCCCAATGACGACCTCGTGGAGCACCCCAGAGTCGTAGTCCCCAACAGAGTAACAGGTGGGGACTGCGCCCCTGGCCTGGCTGGTGTACACCCCCGACTCGAGCCCGTACTGCACAATGGAGGTGCCGGGGCACAGCCGCCTCCCCAGCCGCGCATGCCGCAGCTGGATGGGGAGGTGGCGGCTCAGTCGGTGCAGGATGCTGTGCGAGCTGGAGGTCTCCGGGCCGGGGGTCACCCAGTTCACCGCGACCGCCCCAGGGCCCGCCAGGGAGATGTGGATCTGGGAGGCACGGGGCAAAGGAGTGACTGTGATCCAGGTGACCGAGTCACATTAGACATAGGATCCAAAAGGGGCTGCAATGAACATGCTGGCAGCCGACTTGAGCGCATTAATGCTCGCATCGCACATCTTTCATTGTACCCTTACCCTTTTCGAAACCAAGAACGCTGCTCACCTGCTCCGGAGCTGAAGGCCCAGCCGAGGGGTGCCTGGCCAGACGAGTGTGAGTTGCAGGCAAGTGCCCCTTGGGAGCTTTCCGCACAAAATGCAGGGAGTTGGAGAAGTCGCCCTGTGACCCCGCGCAGAGTGTGACGCAGGCCAGCGCGAGGACCACGGTCAGTGCTTGCCGCGCGAAAGATGCCGACCCCATCGCCGTTTCCATCCCAGAACGAGACCGGGAAAGATACATTGAATTGCAGTCAAGTCATATTTGATGTCCATAATGGAAAATTACACACCGTCGTGTTGATGCCCCTGGCATTCCATTAATTTGATGCGAATCTCCCGCGTCGCGACATTCCTCACGATCAAATTTGAATGCACGCACCCAACTCAACATTTGGATGGATGATGTTTGTGGTAGGGGCAATCGCAATGCACCTTGCCTTGATTCCTCAATAGATGTCTCTCACTTCAAACATGTTATAGGATTTACCATGGAGGGGCTTTTGGTGAGTCTATATTGCGCCTGCTCAAGGACAGTTGGTGAAAGTAAGAAAGGTACGGATGTAACCCACCGCAGCCGCAGTCTTCGGACAAGGGTACATACCAGGTTTAAACTTCATCATATCACTCGGCTTTCATACGCTTTGTCATGACGTTTGTACAATTTAGGCCAAGTACGGAATGCCGCTAACCTCGGCAATCCCCTACGGGCACCACCGGCGAACGTTGCAATAAGGATAAGCTACTCCATACTCCATCTCTCGCACCCAACGAAGTGGCTGCCAACTACATTAGACCGACTTAAAGCCCTTGCCATACGCTCTCGCCGGGGTGCTTGACCGTGGCGGGTGAGATTCGGGCTAGTCAGTTTCTCCGATGCTGGACTCTAATGCAATGATGGTGGCCTTAATCCCTTTGCGCTGCGAATGCCCCGTCACTACAACGGCTTGGTGCGCAACCGTCATCGACGTGGTTTGTGCCGCTCATGTCGTCAGCGTCCCCCAGACACTGGAGAGGTGAACCTCCAGATTCTCCATATGCCATATAGGGACCCCTTGACAGCACAAGAGTGCCATTGGAGAGGGGTGTAACCCTGACACCATTCAGGCTCCTGCCCTACTTTTGGTCGTTGCCCGTCCTCCTGGTCGACAAAAAGGACGGGTCGCAGCGCATGTGCGTCGACTACCTCGCGCTCAACAAGGCCACCATCAAGAATCGGTACCCGCCGCCGCGGGCCGATGACCTGATGGACAGGCTTGTTCAGCGCGCGGTAGTCGACGCACATGCGCTGCGACCCATCCTTCGTGCCCACCAGCAGCACCGGCGACGCCCAGGGCGATGAAGACGGTCGGATCAGCCCATGTCGCACGATCTCCCAAACTTGCGCCGTGACGGTGTGTGCGGCCGTCTGCGCGGTCTTGTGTGGCGCAAGCATGATCGGGAGCTTCTTCTCAACCATCTCGATGGATATTTTGTCTCCCGGCTCGAGTTGCAGAATACTCGAGAATTACCGCCCGCCACGGAGGAGAGCAGCAAGCTGTCCGAGCTGATCCAGAGTGCCATGCGTGCACAGTCGTTAAGCTACTCTTGCTATGAATTCCATATATAAGTCCACTCTCTCCATAAATATGTGGTCTATTGCTTCAGGAATCTCAGTGTCAAGATTCGGTCATTGACAATGCAAATCGTCGTGCAGGCCCTGCATGAGACAGCAATTCCTGAGCTGAGCGGCTGCCTTAGACCTCTTGTCCCACCGGCATAAGTGCAAGGAGGCATGTGTGCAGGGGGCGTTGATTCACTAGCCCTCGTTCTACTGCTCATAGGTTTCAGGAAATGGGTGCGAAACTCATCGATGACCATCAGGCAGCACTTGAGGTACAACAGAACATCAAATGCTCTCAAGAGCGGCTGAAGCCACACGATGTAGCAGCTGATTGCACGACTCAAAATGGGCATTCTTGTCTGCGAGGTTGTTTCACTTGTAGACTGTGGACAAAGTATTGGTTGAATGGCCGATGTCTGCCCCTCACACCTAGATCCGCCTGTGGTGCAAATGCATCTCCGGCTAATGTGTTGCATCCCTGGACCACCACAGCAGCCGCGCCAAATCATCGCCGCGATGAATGCGACCGTGGTCCGCAATGCACGGGGCGATCTTTCCCCCACAGTAATCCTCCAAAAATCTGCACATGGAGACCGGAAAGCGGCAGCGGGTGATCGGCAGCACCGAGGTCGCGGGTGGAGGCGTCCTACACGGACTGCTGGATCGCATCGCAGGCCTGGCTCCTGGTGCCGATGCGTCCCTCGTTCCGTTATCAGGAGCCATCTCCAAAGCTATATTGGAGTCGAGGGGTACTCCAGAACATGAGTTCCTCCTGCGAGCGCTCCAAGAAACTCTGGAGAAGATACAGGTGTAGTTTGTTGGGATGAGAAGGTGAGGTCTGCATCGAATGTCTTGTCCGCAGCCGAGCATTGCTGATGCATACCTTTGTCTGTACATCCAATCACGTGCACGAATTCAACCTGTAGGCAACAATAACCGAGCTGCACGCGGCTGTGACAGAGCGGACCCCACCTCCTGGCTATCGCCCGCCGAAGCCATGGGATGCGGAGCAGGCCAGGAGAATCGTGTCCTTTGCCCACAAGCTGAGCTACACCTCCTTTGCGCCACCAGGCTTCGTGCTGGGGAGCACTCCCCTGCACCTGCACAAGCCACCTGCACCGCAAGAGCTTCAGCTTCGGGCATCGCAGCTCCATGAGCTCCAGAGTGAGCGAACGCTGGGGCTTTTCGTTTCGAGCGGAACCCCACTGAACCCCTCGCCGTGCTTGGACCAGCAAAGATATGGAGGCTGCCGTTTGTACGTTGGCATGGCCAGTGAGCTGCCACGCGCAAGTGCGCAAGACACATCACCCACTCCCTCATGCCCAACCTGCCACAGGAACCTGGGCGGCACGGGCGGCATCTGCTGCGCTGGCGGCAGCCTCCACAAACATCCCGGCGGTCGCCACTGTACCCAACGACACTCCCCAGGCCACAGCCCTGCAGTCGCGCGAAACAGCAAAGGAAGGAGCTCTGCATACTGCGCTGCAGTCCCTCCCTCCAATGCCGGCTGGGTGGAAGCCTGGGGATCCCATTCCTGGTCTGACGCCCGCTGCAGCCCCTGGATCCGCCGTCAACTCCCCGGAACCCCAACCCATGCGAGCCCCGGCCCCAGCCCCACTCCTCAAGTCTTTGGACTTTGTGTTGAATGCAGACTTCGACCCTGGAGAACTGGAGTTTGGCGACGGGAGCAGCAGCGAGGACGACAGCTCTGATGGGGAGGAAAGCTTCTGAGCGCATGGTTGACTTGAAACTGCATTCAATGCAAGCCATGGGTCAAGTGCCCTAGCAGAAGAGTAGATTCAGGGCACAAAGTTGTACAGGGTTTCAAGTCATGGTCCAAGAGACTCACAACAAAGATCTAGGAATAGGAAAATGTGCATAGCTTTGTTAGCCTCGGCCCCTGCTCCCATAATCAAACCGCACTGGTCTTCCGTACAAAGACACCGAGTCCTTGAAGAGCGCCAGCGCATAGGTGCAGTGTTCCTGGGAGGCAATACAAGGGGCCAGGGAGTACTGGACATGATAGGTGATCAGCCATACTTCCTGAGCCACAACAACCCACAATCCCAAACACTTACGATTTCCGTATACTCTATGAATCCAAAGCCTTTCCCTGTGGTTCTGACATCCTTTACAGGCCCAGCCTGCGGTGTGAAGGTCGGGAGCTTTCGCTTGAGGCGCTGTACGCCCCAAGGGCAGGGCGCGACCCGGCCGCATGATGGACAATTCACCTGCACCCCGAGCTCGTAGAGATGCCGTCTGTCTACTCTGGAGTCCAAGTTACCAAGATACAGGACAGGTGATGGCTCCATTCACCATGCAGTGCGAACGGTGGAGTCCGCAACAACACCCACGCCCCTCGACAATCCTTCGAGGTCAATCTCGTAAACCATTTCAAGTCTTATGAATGGTGTTACACTGACATTTACCTGATTTGGTCTTCGAAAGAGCAGAACTCTTGAAACTAAAATTCGCGCCCCACCAACACACGCCGAGATCTCGTCACTGTTCGGCTGATTTCGTTTAAAGGAAACAGGACACACCAAAGCCACCTGCAGATCATAGGTCCAGGACAGAGCAACGGTGGCCTTGCATACAGGGGTTACAAAGTGACCTTCACGTCCAGTCGAGTCCGGCCTAGGTGTGCCATGTGCTGCTACCAGCCCCACTCTTGCCCTTCCGCCGCGACCGTCGGGATGTGACCATCACCTCCGCCTCATCGTCAGAGTCGTCCTCCAGCTCCCGTACTCGAAGCTGAGGCTGGGTGGGGTCATTGAACCTGTTCGGCCCGCCGCCGCCGCCACCGCCGCCGCCACCACCACCTCCGCCACCTCCACCACCGCCACCGCCACCGCCGCCGCCGCCAAACCAGCCGCCGCCGCCGCTTCCCATGTCAAAGAGCATGTACATGCCAAAGAAGAAGACGTTGAGTCCAAGATTGCGGGCAATCTTGTGGCCGTCCCAGCCCCCTCCACCGCCACCGCCTTCATTGGGGGTGATGGGGGGCAGCATGGGAGGTCCTGTGGTTCGCTTCTTTGTCGTGCTGTTGCTGCGCTGCGTGCTGGCCACTATCGTAGCGTTTCGTCGTCTCGCAGGCAATGCCCCGGTCCCGAAAGGGGTGCGGCATCGGGCGGGCGTGGCCGGAGGAAACTGTATGGACATGGGGGACGGGGGGGGGGGGGCGGATTCAACACCCTGGGCCGAGGAATCATGCATCATGCGGTGGCTCGTCTACCATGCCAACCGACCTTAAATAGATCACTGGCTGTGATTTCACCGGAAGAGGGTGTGAAGGTCGTGCAGGCCTTGTGCATTGGCGTCGAGGGCAGAGCCCGAGACGTGCCGAACCTCACCGAGGCCATGGGATCGCAGAGTCTGCTCCTTTCCCTCCCAGAACAGGACCTACGAGGCTTGAGATACACAGATGACTGATGTTATTCCGGCGATGGGCCAAGAGTTGCACATAGAAGATGGGCCAGCCCTTTATCTTCCAGGCGCATCTGTGTCCCGTGGCGGGATGTGTGACCAGTGAAGAGGTGGCCTGTTCGGCGCGACATGATCCCCACGCATGTTCATCATGCAGACACCCCGGGCCCAGGCCTACAATATGGCCCTTGCTTGAAAATGTCGATCCATGCCCGGCGAGTAGGACTTGCGGGACTGACAAGCACATGCCCGACAAGGTTACAGGAAGCTGCAGCCCTGTGATCAGTCACTACACTGTGCTTGGAGTCAGTCACAAGGTGTTTATGACTTCTAAGGTTGCCGATTTCCCGTGACATGCGCAGTTTTCCGCTGTGACGATGCAGGTGTCGATACAGCGGGTCCCCACACACCCTGCAGGCTGAGGAGGAGGAAATCAAGCGGGCCTACCGCCGACTGGTATTGCGCCTGCACCCAGACCGCAGCGCCTCCGACCCCACGGCCAATGAGGCATTTCAGAGGGTGCAGGAAGCGTACCGCGTCCTGCGTGACGGGACCCTGAGAGCTGAGCACGACAAGACTCTGGCACCCAGGCTAGATGTAATGGTGAGAGGTTGAGGGCCTTTGCCCTGAGCTGTCGCTGCCTGGAGACTCTTGCACCAGTGGGTGAAGATGACCAGAGCAGACTTGTAGGCTAGGTGTAGATACCAAATTTGAAGCAAGACACTGCCAGCTACCTACATCGCAACCCTGCTTGCCCGTGCTCACAGGCCTACCTGGATACCTTCGAGGACCTGCTGCTGACTGCCCAGGGCCTGGGAATGCCTGCGCCCATTCTTCCCCAAGCCACAACAATGGGGCGGCTGACGAGTCTGGAGATGGCCACATCGCAAGAGCTGGGGATGTGAGGGACATGGCCAGAGCAATGCTGAATGCCTCGAGCCTGACAATAACAGGGGTGCCCACTCGGCATCCAGAGATCACTGCCATGCCTTCCTCTTCCGACCCAAACAAGTCTCATCTGACTCAGAGCGTCAGCTATATTTAATGCAGTATTTTCCAAACCATTTGTGAGGGATCAGGAAGGGGGATCGGTCTGATGTCTCACTGTAGCAGGCTTAACAGAGGCGACAGAAGAGGACCATAACCTCCCGCCCAGGCGTTGCCCATGCATTTGTACTCGGTGACAGCCCTGTGTGGCTCCGGAGGCCCGAAGTTGTAGCGGCAGCCGCTCCTGGAGCTGTGAGGCTCTCCTGCAACTCACACGCTGGGCGCCAAACACCCTGCACGCTTTCATCCGCCACGAGCCTCTCTCCTGGTCGCATCATGCAGCAGCTCGACATCCACACTCCCAGGGGGGAGCTGAGTTGGTGGGTGGGGGGGGGGGTGAGGGCTCCTCGGAAAAAGATGGTGCAAGCATCAGATGGTTCATGCCTTGCCTGCCATTCCATGCCCCATGTCCATGCCTGCACAGCAACTGCATCCCAAGCAAAGGCCCACGCCAGCAGAAAGTCACCTGTACATATCGAACAACAGAGCCTCGTATGAAGCAGTTGCGCACAGACAGCATGTGAGGGTATTTGGCAGGGTTGGCCAGCTTGATGTTGTTCAGCTTGATGTTCAGATACTGGTCCACTGAGTGGAGGGTGCCCGTGATGGAAAGATCATTCTTCAGGTCTACCGTGATCTGCTCCGCGCCAGAGATGGGTGTGGGAGGAGGTAGGGTGCATGTGTAGCTGCCATCAGAGGGAACAATTTTGAGCAGCAGCCTGGGAAGGCATGCGTCCCCTCAGCATGCATCGCGCCCCGTCCTTGAAGGCCTACCTCCTTCCCGACCAGCGTCTTAAAATAGCTGTAGAAGAGCATGGCGCTCAGGAGAGGGCCCGCTCTCCAGACAAAGGATGCGAACGCCTAGCCCCTGCCTGCTCGGTGAGAGGAACAATAACGGCAGCCGTTGCCTGATCTGGTCCACTGTGTCCCAAATTACGTCTTCGAATACACCTGCATTTCCTCCTGTCGACATTGCTGCATCACACGCCAATTTCTTGCCCCGAGCGACTCCCATCGATGGACGATGGAATGGGGTCGCATCCGACGTGGCGACACCTTCACAGCGCTCCAGATGCCGGAGGAATCCCGACCAGACACAGACTCTGATATTTTGCAATAATTGATCAGACGGCTGTCTTACAGGCACACGCACTGCGAGCATTCATCAGCCCGGAGGGCCCGGGCGTGCACCATGGCCGGCTCTGCTGATAGTCTCGACAACCCCCGCGTCTACTTCGACATAGAAGTCGATGGCGAGGCTTTCGGGCGCATTGCAATGTCCTTGTTCGCCGATGTGGTCCCTCGCACAGCCGAGAACTTCCGGTGAGGAGGAGCAGTTCGAAACGACGGTGCAGTAGGGGGGATTGCTGGGCACCATTGCTCTCCAAGATCGCTCAAACCTGGCCGTGTCCCACCTTCCCTCAGGTGCTTGTGTACCGGGGAGCGAGGTGTGAGTCCCAAGGGGGTGCTCCTCAGCTACAAGGGGTCCAAGTTCCACCGCATCATTCCCAACTTCATGTGCCAAGGGGGTGACATGGAGAAGGGGGATGGCACTGGCGGCTCCTCCATCTACGGCCCAACCTTTGAGGACGAGAACTTTGCGTTGGAGCACACCGAGCCCGGCATTCTTTCCATGGCCAACGCTGGGCCTAGCACCAACGGCTCTCAGTTCTTCATATGCACAGTCCCCTGCCCCTGGCTGGACGGCAAGCATGGTAGGTGTGAACTGGTGGCTTCTGATCTGCTGGAAATGTCTGTGGTAAAATGCAAGTCTTGAAGGGCAGGGTCAGGGGGCAGCAAAGTGGGTCCCAGTTTGCAGGATGGACTGTATGCAGCTCCTCATTCCCTCCTCTCATGGTCCACCCCCCCCCCCCCCCTAACCCTCTTGAAGTTGTGTTTGGCAAGGTCACAGAGGGCCTCTCCCTGGTGAAGAAGATGGAGGCCATGGGGTCAAGGACGGGCAAGACCTCGCACGTCATCAAAATTGCGGACTGTGGGGAGGTACGGTGCTGGGCGCGGCTCTTACGGATGAAGGCTTGGCACGAGCTGGAAGTCGAACGCTTGGGCTGTGGATTGATTGCTCATTGTCAATCTCACCTTGTTGGCCGGTGCTGTGTTCTTCATTCTCTGTTGACGGGTTACCCCAGTGCTACTTCGGCCAGCTCCAATATGGTTTACCCCCCACCATCCTCTTTGTAAATGCAGCTTCCCAGCAGGCGCCAGCTGCTGGCCAAGGTCAGGGCAGAGAAGGCTGAGCTGGCAAGCCTGAAAGCTGAGCCGCACGCCGTGGATGCCAACGCCGAGTCCCTGAAGCGGCTGCAGGCCCTGAGGGCGCCGTCCGGCGGTGGGCCCGCAGCAGCGCCGTCATACCGGACCGCCCAGGATGAGCTGCGCGAGCTGGAGGAGCAGGAAAGGGCGGTGGGGGGAGCTGCAAATGAAGGTGGAGATGCAGGCCCCAGTCAGCCTCCCGGTCAGGGTGCCGACGGGCCAGACGCCGGTGGGGCTGGGCCGGGCGATGCTGCGCAGCAGGAGGAGGAGGGGGAGGAGATCGACCTGGCTTCTCTGCCGCCCCGCGCCCGAAGGCTGCACGAGCTGAAGCTGCGTATGCGCCAGGTGGGAGGTGGAGGCTGTGGATGGGGCTGGGGCGGGGCTCTGTGGGCACGCGATTGGGCTTGACAGGTGGCCAATAGGCTGCACCATACCATCGGCCCCACCGCCGCGTGCTCCTGCCCCATCGCAGGCCAGGAAAGCCAACGAGGGCGCCGTGATCTCGGAGAAGCGCAAGGAGCTGGCGGGGAAGGGGAAGGCGGAGGCCGTCAGCGACCCGCAGTCCTCCAAGCGCAAGTGGTATGAGGACAAGAAGAAGCGCCAGGTGCGAGCAGCAAGGGAGGGGGGCTGGTGCATGTGCCTGGAAGGGGGTTGCAGCTGGGTTTGCAGCGTGACCACGTGTATTGCCCTGGGCATCAGGCCCTCCACCCATGACCTCCAGGAGGAGGAGTTGAAAAGGCTGGGGCTGGGACCAGAGCACGCGCACCGGCTGGAAACCGCGGAGACCGCGGCCGCCATCTACGAGAAGACCCGCAAGACCCCGGCGCCCAAGGGCTGGGAGGCGTTCAACCAGGCCGCGCTGTATGGCGCCTACGAGCGGCGAACGGCCGCCATTAAGCCGTCGGCTGAGGAGTACGAGGCCGCCAAGGCGGCGGACCCGGAGTTCTACCGGGCGGGGGACAGCCTCAAGCACGGCGGACAGGGGGCCGTGTCGGAGGCAGGCGTCGCCCGCATGGTCGCGGAGCTCAACGACAGGTGGGCCGGAGGGGTCAGGCGGGGGAGCAAGAGGAAGGGGGAGCCTGCTGGCTGCGTGACGCTTCCTGATGTGCTTGGGGATGCAGTGATGTGTGCAAGGCAGTGTTGACACTGGTTGTGCCAACTGGAGGTTTTGCTGGTGGGTCGATTGCTGATTCCCCCGCTTCCTCTTGCCCCAGCGCCTGCACCCTTCCAAACCCCGACGCAGGCAACGCAAGGCTGGGAACTTTAGCCGTCGGCGCGCGTTCGACGACGCCAAGGATGTGGACTACATCAACCCCCGCAACGCGCACTTCAACAAGAAGATCGACCGCGCGTTCGGCAAGTACACCGCGGAGATCAAGGCGAATCTGGAGAGGGGGACCGCCCTGCCGGAGCGATGAGGGGGCGCATTCCAGTGGTGAGGCGTGGGGGTGTTCCGTGGGAATGGGGCGCGGTCTGCCCCTGCCGAGGGCTGCTTGCACAACGGGGAAACGCCGGTGGCCGAGTCCTCATGCCTAGAGCCCATGGCAGAGGGTGGTATCGCGAGAAGGAAATCATCGATCAGGCGGACAACGACCTTGAAAGGGGGGAAATGAAGGGGCGCCACTCTGCTCCCAACCTCAGCGTGCCTGTGCCACCGCGTACGTCCTTTGTCACCGGTGGTGCCCGCTGAGGGTTTCCCACATTTGGGCGATGCCCCTATGTGTCAAGGCCCGCACAATCGATCGCCTCACAGGATATTGCCAGCTTCAAAGAGGTGGCCGCGCAATCTGGAGCACATATCGACCTCCAGGCGATGTGACTGCTGGCCTGCTGGCGTGGACGCTGTGCCCCTTGTCACTCCATGCCATGCTTATGTCACTACTTGCCTGCTGTCACATGCATCAGGCCGCCCTCTGCTGCAAACACGATCCTTTGACACTGCTCTGACAGTCCACAGGGCTGGGCAGGGGGTCCCAGACATGCACAGTGTGCAAGCCAAGTCTTTGTTGATCGGCCATGCACTTGTGCATGAGCCTGACCGGGCATCGAGCCTTGGATAGCGAACCCAATAACAGCTTGGCTATAACACATAGATTTGCAGGCTGGTAAGCAGCCCGACATCCAGGGGGGTCTGCTCGACCAATTGCGGAGCACACATGTCCACGAGGCACTTTCCAGTGCTGCTCGTGGAAGAGGCCGTGCCGCTACTCTGTCTGCGCCGCGGCAGCCGCAGCTGACCTGGTCCAGCTGGGCTTGAAGTTGGGCGGACGAGGTTCGGCATGCTGCTCTGACGTCCAGGCAGATATGGGCCTGTGGAGAAGTGCGAGGAGGGTGAGCTGAGAAGATGCGGGGCCATGAGGTCTGGTGCCTCCCCATATGACCAGAGCCAGCCTGACCCAGAGCACGAATTTACGCACCGGGAGAGTGGGGCAGGGGCACCGCCCGCCTGCGGAGCCACGGCAGAGGTGCGGGGGTCCACGGCGGCGAGGTTCCCGTCCTCGGCCCCCATGAGCTCGGCGCGGTTTGCGGCCGCGACCGTGGCGATCTTGAAGTCGAGGGCAGTGGCCGGCGGCGCGCCGCCCGCCAGGGCGTGCTGGCTGCCCAGCACCTTCTCCCGCAGGTCTTGCATGTCGGCCTCGCGCTGCGCACGGCGGTCCTGCTGGGACGGCGCCTCCACGTCCTTGAACTCCTCGTAGGCGCGGCGGCGCAGCACCCGCCGCACCACCAGGGCAAAGATGACGGCGATGGCCTGCAGGGACAGCAGGCCCAGCAGGACCCAGCGCCCGATGCTCACCGCCTTCTCCAGGGAGGACCTGGATGTGGGAGAAAAACGGCTGGTTGACAGGAGATTGGAACCAAATGGAATGGTGTTGTAAATACCAGCGAATCCTCAATTTTTGGCCGGGTGGATAGCAGACTTGAATTTGGGTTTTGCCTGTCAGAGTACCTGCCTAATCTCAGCGACAAAACTGTGCCAGGCATCGACGCCAAGCGATTACCCAGAGGCGCTCCTACATCTCACCTGGGGGCATGGCCCTTGTCGATGGCATAGTCCTGCAGCTTCTGGACAGCCCCGGCTGGGTCGACGAAAAGGTAGATGACGAGGCCCAGGTGCCCCAACCCTGCAATGACGCTCAGGACGGCGTGCAGGCCCAGGCAGCACCGCACACGCGCAGATCCAATGAATCCAAAGACAGCAGCTACGATGGTGAAGCCTCCGATTATCCACAGTCCCCTGCGATATGTGCAGACACAGGAATGGTAGCAGCGGAGTTTTTGAATGGCTTGCAGCGGGAGGATCGTGCATGCATTGAGCATCAACCGCCTGTGTTCCCTATTGCCAACGTCAAGGACATTCATAGTCAATGGAGCGAGACAAGAGCTTCAGGCGCCGATCCGCAGAGATTCAAGTCGTAAGCAATCGCAGTGTGCGAGTCATCTTCAGGACTCGATTCGGCATTGTTACCACTTACAGGGTAAGGGCATCTCCCGGAGGCCATTGCAGAACGATCGCGAGCACGATCATGCTGACCCCCGACAGGATCTGGAGCACGGCCAAGAGTCTAAGCGAGACCGCGATTCGCTTCCATGTCTTTCGTGACAGCACCTTCTGCGTGGTCTTGCTGGGGGAAGACTGGGGTGTCGGCATGTTGTTGGGACGCCACCCCCGAACGGGCTCGTCCTGGCCAGCCGGGATGGTCGACATCGGTGGGATGATGATGTAAGGTTACACAAGATGGGAACAGCTGCACATTTGCATCTGTCCTGAAGGATAACCGTCCACGACCTCCGGTACACGGTATGGCAGTCTGTCGTCATCTGCTCCTGCTTTGAACAAAGCGGTTGCACTTCGCCTGGGAGGAAAGCATGGTGGAGGGGTCTGGTACTTGTCTGCAAAGAGGTACCTTGAACCTTCTGTGACTTTCATTTGCGGGGTAGCCACCATGATCTATAGATTGATAGCCGGTCCGTTCGTGTGCAAGAACATTGTACATTCCAATGCAGTCAAGAAACAATGCAAGATGGTCAAGTCTGCACCTAGGGACTCTGCAGACGGTCATACGTCGCCATGCTGAATGATGACCAACGCTTCTTCCTCCCGTCCTCCACGGGAGTCTTGATCACTCGCCGCCTCTCCACCAGGCGGCCCAGCGCGCTCAGCTTCCCTTGGGAGTCCTGCTGCTGCTGCGCTGGCGCCAGATTCTGCGACGCCGACGGGGAGAACGGCACGGGCCCCGGGGATGGCGTCTGCACGCGTGCGGTCCCCCTGGGGAAGGAGTCTGGGGGAGGCGTGTTCTCGCTGCCCTCATAGGTGTCAGAGGCGGGGAGGTGGATGCGCGGGCGAGCCGGGGGAGTGGCTGCGGCCACTGCGCTCCTCAGCACCGCCACCTCCTCCTCCTTGCTGGCCAGCTTGGCAGCCGTCTCCCTGCAAATTATCCGAGCAGGGGTTGTGCGGATGAAACGGCATGCATCCCTCAGCCAGCGTGGGTTGCAGCACTGACAGTGCGGATGTGTGGCGGAGGGATACCATGCAGCGTAGCGCTGTACAAACTTTGCTACCACAGAGAGGGCTGCACCCCAGAGTCTGCCTCACACCCAACGCTCAGCCATCCAGGGGCACATGTCCACGATGCCTCCTGCTCAATTTCCCTGCCTACCTCTCACGGCGTTGCGCCTCACGCAGTGCCGGCTGCATCCTCTTCAGGCTGTCGACCAGCAGGTCCCGCTCAGTCTGCAGCTTGCGCATGGCATGCAGGGCCGCTTCTAGGGAGCTCGAGGCGTCCAGCCGCGGCTTGGCCTCCAGGCTACTGGCCGCAGCGTCAGCCGGGCCGCGGCCCTCAGGCCCAGTTGGTGGGCGGGCTGGAGAGGCGGCATCTGCCGCAGGCAGCCCCGGCAGGGCGTCCTTGGGCGCTGCGCTGGCCATCTCCTTGAGTTCCTCGCTCTCCAACTCACACAAGCGGGAGTACTGGAATTTCGCCAGCTCCACCAGGTTTGACACCTGCACGCCCTCGGCACAGGTTTAGCGCATGCATTGGGCACGCATGCAATCCGTGATGGGAAGCGCTGCCCCCAGATACTGGCACTCCACGGGCCGTGCACGGCTCGGCAAGGCAACACAGACCCTCGACTACACTCCTGGGACCCCGCACGCCGGCTTACCTGGTGCAGGAGGTCCTGCGCCTGCCAGTCCCGGGCCTCCAGTGCCTGCGCTGCTTCCTTGTCGGCCACCCGCGCACGCTCCGCCTCCGCCTCCATCTCTTGTGCCTTCGCCTCCGACTCGGCGAGCCGGCGCCGCAGCCCCGCCACCTCGCGCTCGGCGCCCGACAGCGTGAGCTCCAGGTCCAGGGCTGCTGCGTCGTAGGCCGCCGCGCTCTCCGCCTCCCGCCTCGCGGCCTCCTTGGCCCGCGCCAGCTCGGCGCCCAGCCCCGCCTCACGCGCATCGGCCGCCTTGGCCGCCGCCGCCGCGCTCGCCAGCTCCGCGCGGCAGGCGGCCAGCAGCTGCTCCGCCGCCGCGCCCGCCGCCAGCCCAGCCCCCGCCGCCTCCAGCCCGCGCCGCGCCTCGGCCGCCTCGGCCTCTGCCTCCAGGCGCGCCGCGCTCTCCAGCTCCAGCATCGCGGCGGCACGCTCCGCCTCGGCGCGCGCCACGCGCAGCGCGGCGCTCTCCCGCCCCAGCCGGGCGGCCAGGTCGCCGCACTGCAGAACCAGCTGCTCCGCGGCCTCCCCGCCCTCCTCGCGCAGGTGCGACGCCAGCGCCGCGTGGCACGCAGCGCCGGCCGTGCGAGCGGCCACCAGCCGCTCCTCCCGCTCCTCGCGTTCTGCGGCCAGCTCGGCGCGCAGCTCCTCCACGCTCTCTTCCAGCGCGGCGCGTTCCTCAACCCAGGCCCAGGCCTGACAGCGCATCGTCTCCAGCGCCACTGCCAGCGACCGGGCCCGCTCGCGGGAGATCCGCTCCGACTCTGCCGCGGCGTCCCGAGCCGCCGCAGCCTCCGCCGCCCGAGCCTCCATCCGCATCGCCCGGCTGTCGGCCTCGGCCAGTCGCACGGTGGCGGACAGGTGGCTGGCCGACAGCGCAGCGCGTTGGTCCCCCTGGGCTTCAAGCCTGACGCCGGCTTCGACCAACTCAGCCTTTGACATTGTAAGCTCACATGTGGCGTTGGCCAGCTCAGCCTTTGCCGTGACCAACTCAGCCCTGGCATCGGCCACTTCAACATGCGAAGTGGCCAGCCCAGCCCTGGCGTCAACCAGTTCAGCCTGTGACGCGGCCAGCCCAGCTGTGGCCCGCTCCAGCTCGTTCTGCAGAGCAGAGAGCTTGCTGGTGGCATCGGCTGCCGCGGCTTGTGCTGCAACCGATGATGCATCCAGCAGAGACTGCAGAGTCTCCAGCTGCGCGGCGCTGGACGATGCCTCTGCAAGGGCAAGGGAAGGGTGCATCGAAAAACTGGAAGCCACAGTGCCAAACAACATCTAGAGATGGAAACATGTACCCTCAGCAAACGGGTTTCTCTGCTCGCTCCAACCCTGCAGTGCATACCTGCTTCCAGTGCCTGGATACAAGCAGTGGCCTCAGCCAGCTTGGATGCCATGGCATTGTGATCCTGTGCCGCGGCCGATAGATCCTTCTTGGCCTTCTCGAGATGCTGGGTGCGCAGTGCAAGCGTCGCTTGGCACTGCATGAGATCCTGCCGAGGGGACGACAGAAGGGAAGGGTCACAGATCTTGCTCTGCCTGGCCTTGACAATGCGCTGTCACCTCAAGCAGCAGACAGGAAGGGGTCCAAGGCTCCCCAAACTTGACACAGGAAGGGGCCCAAGCCTCCACAAACTTGACACATGAGCGGAGCACCTCACCTCTTGCACGGAGGAGAGCTGCTCCCTGCACTCCGCCTCTCTTCTTTCAGCTGCGATCCTGGCCTCCTCCACCTGCTGCAGGTCGCGCTGAGCTTCCTGAGAGGATGAATAGGTGATGCCGGGTCAGTACTGGGTGCAAAAATAGTGTATCAAAGCTCCGTTCAGCTACGTATGACGAAACATGCGGGGACTCCTTTGCTTGAGGTACTTTAGGCCTGGAGGTAGGGTAACACACTCATTTTCATGCCTCTTGTGGACTGATAATCCTCCATCTACATACCTGATCGGCTCCAGCAGAAGAATGAGAGGTGGCTGAAGCACCTCCCACTTCCCCAACGCCTTTCGTGGGTGCCGTGTCTTGGCCCTCTGAAGCTGCTGCTGCCGGGAGGAGAGCCTCATCTTTCTCCCTTCCACGTCGACTCTGTTGGGTGGCCTTCGGCTCCAGCTGGGCTTGCAGGGTGGCCGCTGCCTTGCGCAGCTGCAAGACGTCGCCATCCAGACCCTGTGGAGGAAGGCAAAGGATGCAATCGATGCCGAATACACATTGGCAAGAAGACCGATATAACTTTCCCGACAAAGTGGTAGCCCCAGGATGGCCCCCATCCAGTGCCAGCTCACCCTATGCAGCATCCTGTGATTTTCAATCTCCACGGCCATGTCCTGGTTCAGGCTTTTGAGGCTTGCAATTTCTGCCCTGGCAGAGCCAAGCTGCTCCTCCAGAGAGCCGTTGTCATACTTGAGGCAGTCCATCTCCGACTGCAGCATCTCGGCTTGGATCTTGCGCTTCTCCAGTGCTGCCAGGGCGTTGGTCAGCTGGTGTTGGAGCTCCTGGCACTGCCTCGCCACGTCCGTCTCGGCCCAGCCCACCGAGCCCCTTCTGCTCCCATCTGAGCAGTCGTGCAAGCGGGTGCCGGACAGTGATGGCTTGGGTTAGATCTGGCCGGCTGCCTGCAAGATCAGCTGCTCAATCAGGGCGTACCTTGCGGATCCAGGGACCCGTGTCGTTGTAAGGTCCCAGGAGACTCTAGGGTGCTTTGGAATGCTCTTGGAGTAAAGAATGGCTGCTCAGAGGGAATGGGAGGGAACGCATGAAGTCGACTTCAATAGCTCCGACACCCAACTTCCGCCAGGGAGAGGAAGACCTACGTACCGTTGCGGACACCCGCACTCCATCTTCGCGAGACGCCGAAGTATTGGTGGGAGTAGAAAACTCCTCCACAGCGTGCCTGCCGGCATCCATGCAGCTCGATTCCGCCAACCACTTCGAGGACCCACCGCCCCCTATGGACCTGGGCTGCAAAGTGAAACGAGGTCAGATGGTCGCGCTTACAGAGTGAGGTCGGTGTAGTTGATGGATGTGTGAGATTTCGATGCCGCTTGAGTCCGGCTGTTACGGGCTGCTGAGTGGATAGTTGATTTCGAGTCTCATTGTTCTTCAAGATCTCACGCGACGAATCAGGCGGGCTTTCCTCCAGAAAGTCACTTGAACTGCGCTGATGGGCTCTGTAGAGTTTACAGCTCACACTACACTGGGGGAAGTAGACTTCCACATGCTCTCTCCATGTCTATACATCTACTCTAGGGCCTTCTCCCAGCCTGCAGCAACAACCATGGGACCCGCCACATCCAGAGCCTTCTTTTCGTCGTACAACTCGGCAACGAGCCGGAGGGCAAACTCCAGCGTCGTCCCGGGACCCCTGCTCGTGATGACCGTACCCGATCTCACCACTCGCTGCTGAACTGCCTCCTGGTTGGACAGGGCACCCGAGAAGCCCGGGTGGGCTGTGGCGGGCGCATCCCCAATCAGCCCTGCACGGGTCTCGGAAGATGTGTGGCTCACCCCTATGTGCAGTACAGCAGGTTCCCACCTGCAGGCACCCTTGTGCAGCTTCCGTGTGCCTCCACCTACCATGGTGGTGCAGAACTACGGAGGGACTGGCACAGACTGCTGCCAGCAGTCGGCCCTCCTCCTTCTGCTTGCGCATGATGACGAGCAGCTCCGCCGAGTCTCGCAGGCGCTCTGCGCCAGGCATACCCCCCTGTCGTGGACTTGCGCAGAGTGATTATGACCTCGCCCAGGGAAAGGGTGGGATCTGCATGCCTCAGGCGTAACTGGCCAGTACAGAGTGCTACACAGGTCAATGCATGGTGGTCTCGACAGATACCTGCCGGTGAGACAAGCTGCACGCCCGATACCCCCGCTGCCGCCACTCACAGGAAGGGCTACCAGGTCGAATGTCTGACCAGACAGGTCCCCGATCAGGGCATCCGCCAGCACCTTGACCTTCCGGGCAAAAGTCACCTCCAGCCCGGACTCGACCGAGGCCAGCGTTACCTCGGCCCCCGCCCGTCGCAGGACGTCGACGAGCGTGACCGACTCAATGTCCTCGGACCCATTGCCGATGGGGACCAGCACGCGCTTGGCGGCCATGGTCCGGAGTTCCCTGGACCGCTTCAGGTGCGGGCGAGCGGCTCTCAGCGGTGGAGTCCCGAGATTCAGGGCAGGCTGCAACCTCAAGGCGGATTGCATCTGATCGCAAGATTGAAGACTGGGGTCGATCGGGTGTGCTCGTGCATGCAGCGACCACCCGACATCCCCGGCCAGCTCATGAGGGTTTCCTCCTGATCTGACCCCCCCTGCATGCGTTCGGGCCGTCCCCCCTCCACACTCATCCTTACATTCTTCGTTCAAAGCGCACATGTCCATGCCTCTCGCTCGGTGTCCGTCACTCAACCCCTGAAAATGCGTGTCCCAGACTTGGTCTTGGGGCGGGGCATGCTGGCCTTGCCCCCCGACGTCACCCCGCCGACGATGGCGGTGGCCAGTGCGACGGCCGCCACCTCCACGGCCACCACCGCGCCCGCCTGCGTGGAGCGCTGACCCAGGCTCACCCCCTGACCTGAGCCGGCGGCCTTGGCCTGCTTGGCCACGGCCCCCGCTGCGCTCTGCACGCTCTGGGGCAGGGGGCTGCCGGGCGACAGAGGGGTCAGCGCCGACCTGGCGGAGCTCAGCGCGCCGGACGCCGCGCTGCCGGCGTCGGACAGCGCCTTGGACGCGGCCCCTGCGTCGGGCAGGCTGGGCAGCGAGGGCGCGGAGATAGCGTCGCCCACCTTGCCAGCCTGGGAGGCCAGCCCGGCGCCCAGGCCCGCGGCCGCACCCGTCGCCGCCCGGACGGCGTCCTTGGCCGAGGAGGGGGCGCCGGGCAGGGCCGACTTGGCCGCGGCCTGGGTCTTCGCCACCCCGCTCTGCACCCGCTGCTGCAGCTTGGGCTTGGAGGTGAAGAGCATGCCCAGCCCGCCCCCGCCGCCGGGCTGGGGCGCGCTCGGCAGCTTGGGCGCCGCCGCCTTCACGCCCTCCACCGCCTTCTGCGCCTGGGCGGGGAGCTGCGGCTTGGTGGTCAGGGCGTCCAGGAAGCTCGACCCCTGGCCGGTGCTCTTCTGCCCGGCGTCGGCGGCCTTGCTCGCCAGCGACTTGGCCGCCGACGCCACGCCGTCCGCCGCCTTGCCCGCCTCCTTGGGCAGCTGCGGCTTGGCGGTCAGGAAGTCAAAGGGCCCCGCTCCGGAGGGGGCCGCATCCTTGACCTGGTTCACGGCGCCGCTCGCCTTGGACTTCAGCGTGGGCAGGGCAGCCTTGGTCTCGCTCGCCGCCTTCTTCACGGCGTCTGGCAGCTGCGGCTTCTTGCTCAGGAAGCTGAAGGGTCCGTCGCCTGACAATGGCGTGTTGCTCGTCACCGCCTGCTTGGCCTTAGACTGTAAGGTTGAGAGGGAAGGCACCGCGTCCTTGGCCTTGGACTGCAGAGTGGGCAGAGAAGGCACGGCTTCCTTAGCCTTGGACTGCAGAGTGGGCAGGGACGGCAACGCCTGCTTTGCCTTGGACTGCAGCGATGGCAGGGAAGGCGCCGCCTGCTTGGCCCTGGACTGTAGGGTGGGCAGAGACGGCACAGCATCCTTCACCGCGTCGGCCGCCTTGCCGGCCGCGTCCTCAACCCCCGACTGCAGCCGGCTGCCCTTCGGGGGCTGAATCTTGGACACGAGCTTTGATGCCACCCCCTGGTCAGCTCTTGCCTCCGACTTCCCCTTCTCCTGCACAGACATCAGGCCAGGCAGCGAAGGCAGCGAGGGGAACCCCCCGCCACTGCTGGCTCCCTTGGGTGTGGGAAGGGCGATGCCCTCCGGAAGATCCCCCTGTGATGATAGGCAACATCACAGTTGAGAATAGCTCCCTCACATCGAACGCGGTGGAAGGAGGGACGATAGCAAACGTGCGCCATACCAGGCACAAGGCTTCCTCTACTGAACGCTGTCACACCTGGGTGCCCTTGTTGATGGAGCCAGAAAACTTGAAAGGAGCCGATGGCTTGGAAGGAGGGGAGGGCGCTGCCTGGGATACCGTCTTTGCGGCCTGGAAGAGAGCGTGAGGGATGACAGTAAGAAGCTCATTGCTTGTTAGACGATCCAGTCCTCGGTAATACAACACATCCACTGCATCAGGCAGCAAGGGTCAAAGATGGCATCCCCCATAAACACACGGGCACACCTTCTTGCCAGCTTCCTTGATTGGAGCAATGGTCTTGGACACCGTGCTCTTGACAGCACTGATCGGTGCCTTGGGTGTGGGTGTGGGGAGCAAAAAACTCGGACTGGGGCTCGTAGTGGGGGCAGGAGCGGCCTTGATACCTGTAGGGATGATGAGTTCATGGATCTCGACTGGCATCTGTGGCAGGCGACCGGAGACTTTGAGGAGCAACAAACCAAGGTCGCGAGCATGATTGTCTTTGGACTTCTCCGGGTGGGCAAGAGTATGGTTCATCATCGAGGTGGAGCAGCACTCCCCCTCGCACAACCCCTTCACACCCTTGATGCTGGTGGAGCTCTCGGCCAAAAACTGGTCAAGTGCGCCGCCTTGCACCGAGTCTGCTGCGGCAGGGTCGGTGGAGCCTAGCGCCAGGAGGCCGGCTAGGCACACGCCAACACATGGTCGTACGAAGGGGAGGTCTTCCCACCTGGCAAGTCCGGGGCGATACACATGGAGTCAAGGGGCGGAGAAAGAGCACGAGGAGGGCACCATGCGACCTACTTAAGAAGCATCCAACCCACCCTTTGCAGGGTTGATCGGAGGCCTGGGCCGCGACGCGGGGATGTCGACGAATCGATCTCCGTCCCTGTGTCGGCAACCTGCATCCGCTGCTGCCCGGCTGGCACGCAACCCGATTTCCGGCGGTGATCACCGAGCTCATCATGCTTGTATTTTTAGGGTACCTAGGATACGGTCCTGGACTCGACAGCTATGCCATGACGCTCATCAGGACCGGGGTGCCTTCCGCGTCGCAGCAGCTTATCTTTTGCGATTCCGTTCCCGGTTGGGGTCACGTGCTCCCATGGGTGCCCAGATTGACAGCACATCAAACGCCACATCTGGGCCCCCACCAGTCATCAGGTCGGCACAGAGCATGTGCAGACACGACAGGGGCATTTGCAGCCCGGGTTCGGCGGCCCCTCGCCCGCCCTACAATCTCCTGCGCGTGTATCGCACCCTGGTGGGCTTGGGGCCGATGACCATGGAGTCCCAGTCGGGCTCCGGGAACTCGTCCACCAGCTCAAAGGTGAAGTTCCGCAGCAGGACGGACCAGATGGTCTTGATCTGGAGGTAAGCGAACTGGGAGCCCATGCAGCCATGCCTGCCCCCGCCGAACCCTATGTAGGAGAAGGGGGCGGCCTTGTCCTCCTCGCGCGGCGCTGCAGGGGTGGGGTGTGTTGGGAGGGAGTGGGCTTGCGGCGTGCATGGCAAAGGCCAGGCAGACGGCATGAGGACAGATCCAGGGGGATGCACAGCTGGAGGTCCCTTCTGCCAGACCACGCCCTGCGAATGCTTCTCCCCTCATCAAACATCGGCACAGGACGGCTGAATAAGACCCCCCCACGAAGGAATCCGGACCTCTGAATCGCTCTGGTTGGAAGCTGTCGGCGTCCTTGAACACGTGCTTCAGACGGTGGCTGAAGCTAGGGGAGGTGGCCACAATGTCCCCCTGTGGAGGCGCAGAGAAAGGGGAGGGAGCGTGCGATGTGTGGCGGAGCACGGGGTTGCGAGGGGCATAGGACGGGGGGATGAGTCACCCTCTGAACTGCCGCTGGCTCCTGGCTTGGCCATCGCGATCTGCCCGAGGCTGCAACACCTCTGGCCCAAAGCCAGCGCACCTTTGGCACGACGTAGGAGCGGCCGTCGGAGGTGGTCACCTCGAACGGCTCCTTGGCGTAGCGCATGAGCAGGACCAGGGGCGGCTGCAGGCGCAGTGCCTCCTGGATGCAGTTGTGCAGGGTGTCCAGCTCGTTCAGCACGTCAAAGGTGATGTCGGTGCCGTGCTCCGCGATCACACGCCGCTGCTCCTCCTCCGCCGCCTGTTGGATGGTGCGCAAGGGGGAATGGGGGTCCGAGGCTGGGGCCAGGCGAGGGTTGTGAGCGGTGGCGGCCAACAAAGTTCCACGCACACACTGGGCTCGGGAAATGGCTGGTGAGCAGTGCGTGCCCTCAGGCCTGCCCTGCAACACGCTGAGGGTCCGACCCTCCATTCCACTCCCCCAGCACCCTGCCACCTGCCCGCACCTTGTAGTACTTCTGGTCGCCCGCCATCATGTACAACCCCGTCCAGGTGGATGTGATGGAGGAGGTGTGCTGCCCCGCAAACAGGAGGGCGATGAGCAGGCCCACGATCTCCTGATCCGTCGTCGCACGCCCGTCGTACACCTTCTTGTACCGGGAGTCAATCAAGGCCTTTGGATGGGAGAGGGGAGGGGCAGGGGGGGGTTGTTAGCATGAGGGGGGATCAACCCTGCCTGAGAATCATTGTGTGGCCCTGCTGCTGGTGAGTGTGGCCAGTGCAGGCAGGCGGGCATGGCGGGGCACTGAGACCCAGCTCCTGGAGTTGGAGTCTGGAGCCCTGCGTGGTGAGGGATCAAAGCCCCCGGTAGGCCTCCGGGATGTCTTCCGTGCCCCTCCTCGAGTGACCACCGCCTGCCCCTTGCGCACGGGCATCTGGACCCACCCTCCCCAGGCCCATGAGCCTGCTGCACCTGGAGGACGTCGTCCTCGGAGACGCCGCTGGCCCTGCGCGCGGCGATGATGGACTTGAAGATGTCGGAGAGCGCGGCGCGCGCCGCGTCGCGCTTGCGGTGGTAGGCGGTGGGCAGGTAGGGGAAGAGGACGGAGAGGGGCCGCATGCCGTCGTCCAGGTCGTGGAAGAGGTCGGCCACGCGCTTGAACATGGACTCGCGCACTTCCCGCCCCATCAGGGTGCGGGAGGCGGTGAGGATGATGAGCTCCCCGAACACCTCGGCCAGGTTGACCACGCCGGTGTCGCCCCAGGCGGCGAAGAAGTCCTCCGCCTCCTGCCGGAAGGCGGGGACGTAGGTCTTCAGCTTGGAGCTGCGCAGCGCATCGGCCACGAAGCGGAACTGCTCGGAGCGCACGCGCTGGTCCACATCGAACACCACGCCCTCGCCAAAGGTGGGGACATTGAAGCTGTACACCTCCGTCTGGCTCATGCGCTCGTCTGTGGCGTTGAAGAAGTGGGGCGAGGCGTGGGGGCCCAGCAGGAAGGTCATGCGCTTGTGCGCCAGGGGGACGGTGAACACCTCGCCATACTTGGAGTGCATGCTCTTCATCAGGTGCCAGGGGCCCTGGGAGGGGGGGGAAGGGGTTGCATGTGTCAAGGAGGCAGGAAAAGCAGGAGTGAGGAGGGGAACCAGCTCGCTGCTGGGGTGGGGATGCACGTCAGGGGAGCCGGGGCAATCCAGCACGCTGCATGCATGCAGCCCGGCGCACGGCACATCCTGCACACGACACTGACAACATCCCAAACGCCGCGGGAGGGGCGAGATCACGGACGCACCTTGCTGAACTTGAGCAGGCCACCGACAAAGGGCACGCCCTCCTCCACGGGGGGGGAGTTCCCGCGGCGCAGGTTTGCGGTAGCCCTCACGAAAACCGCGGCAGCCAGAGCCACGACCAGGATGCCCCCGATCAGGGTGGGAAGGGGCAGCGCGGCCAGGTTGGCCACGCTCGTGGCCACCATGTCGCCGGAGCTGGGTGGGGCGAGGGGATCCGGTGCCCTAGGAGAGCTCCTTGTATCGATAAGCACAGGAATGCAAACAATACAGTCACATTCTCGGGTCCTTAGCCATGGAGCTCGAGGAGTACGTCGATCGAGTGCAACATTTCAATCGAGCGCGCCCCCCTCCAGGCGGCACAGACGTGGAGACGTGTAACTTCTTCACTTTTAAACCGGGACACGGAGCCTCCAAGGAACTTGCCCTGTGCACTGGATCGCTGCCTTAATGCATCTATCAGCATTGTTCAACCGCGTGAGGTGGGGACTCTGAAGATTTGAAGATGCTGGCTGTATGCCTGCAGGATTGCAAAGCAATAATGTGTCAGTGTTCCAGGTGCCACAATCAGCGAATTCCGGCCTCGCTATATTTTCTCTGAAACCCGGATCGCTTTGATCCCCGGAAACATACAGCCCCATGTTGAACACAGAGCGGTCGTGACATGTGCAATCGCCGAGGCTGGCCTTTCCATTCCCAATTACACTAAGGGCCGGTGAGAGCCCTTCACTTCGACGCAATTAAGTATTCAGGAGTAACATGAAGTGGTTTCAGTTGGTGAAGTAATGAGAAGGGCTGGTGGTATCATAATCTCTGAGCGCGCCATCTCAAGGCGACGCTCGACGGCACTTCACCCGGCCCGTCACAAAGTACATCCCGTTTAACAATCGGCCATCAAAATCTACTTCTCGACACCTGAACATAATCACGTAGCGACTGCATATATATCAGTGTTGAAAGCAGTACAAATAGAGGGCGGCTCCCAGGCCTGGGCTCGGGATGGCGGACCTTCTCAAGCGTCTGCACCCACCCCAGGCCCAGTACCGGGATCGCCGCTTCAACGGCACTCAGGAGGAGTTTGAGGAGGTGCTGCGCCAAAGCACCACGGTGTACGTCGGTAACCTGTCGTTCTTCACCACCGAGGAGCAAATATACGAGGTGTGTGGGGAGGGTATCACGGCACAAACACGGGCACACAGCTTCAATTGGAAGAGCGACTCCAGAATCGGGTTGCCTCTGACACACGTTGCATCTTGAACACCTCTACGGACTCCTAGACGGGGAGTGGCCCAGCCCTCTCTCCCATTCAGCCTCGCACCCTTTGCTCCCTGCACCCCCATGCCCATGCCCAGGTTTTCAGCAAGACGGGGGACATCAAGCGCATCATCATGGGCCTGGACCGTCAGAAGATGACCCCCTGCGGCTTCTGCTTCGTCATCTACTACATCCGCGCCGACGCGGAGGACTGCATCAAGTACCTGAACGGGACCATGCTGGACGACCGGCCCATCCGCATCGACTTTGACTGGGGCTTCCGGGACGGCCGTCAGTTTGGCCGGGGGCGCAGCGGGGGGCAGGTGCGTGCATGCCACGTCGATGGCAGGGTCGGTGAGGGCAGAGGGTCCCTGGGGCCGCACATGGTAGGGGGCCCCTGCACATATGTGGCGGTGCATGCAAAGTTGTCACACGCCTCGGCGACTGTCCCACACCTACTACCCATTTCCCACTCCCCTCCTCACCTGGCCCCTCTTCCCAGGTGCGGGACGAGTACCGCATGGACTACGACTCCGGGCGGGGCGGGTACGGCACGGTGCTGCGTGGCGAGCTGAGCGCCCGGCAGCAGATGCTGAGCATGCTCAGCGGCGGCATGCCCGGCACGGAGGGCGGGGACCAGTTGCACCCCCGCCTGGCCGCCAGGGGGCCCGAGGACGACGACTACTGACGACGCAGCCGCCTCGAGGAGCGGGCAAGCGTCTCAGCTCAACACTACGACGCCCTGGTTGCCCAGGGCCTTCCCGTGCTGCTCTCCGAGTCAGGGTGCTGGCACTGCATCCGCTGGCTCAGTCCCATGACGTGTCCCCCAAGTCCTCCTGTGCCTTCGTTTTCTCCTCCCCTGCACCCCTTTCAACCTCTGCCCCGACTGCGCATGTGATCACATTCAGGGCGCACACGCCTGGGCCGTAGCAGAAGGCAGGCACAGGACCACTCGACGCGCGCTCCGAAGCAGCATGCCTCAGTGTACCGTGAGCACCAGGATTTAGACCACGCACAAGACCGACGCGCGCCTGCATGCCAGCCTCGGCGATCCACCCACCGACCCTCTTCCACCATCACCCCCAGCATCAAGCCAGCTTGGGCTTGATCTCCTCCGGCAGCCCGCCGGTGCCTGCGCCGGTGAGGTCGTCGGCCTTGGCCAGCTCGTCGGCCACCACGGTGCGCGCCTGGTCCACCAGGGCCTGGTACTCGCCGGTCACCAACTCCGCCACGCGCGCGTCGGTGATGGGCACCTCCGGCAGGGCGGCCAGCAGCGCGCCTACGCGCTCCAGCCCGGCCTCCCACTCCGCAGCCTTGGTCCAGAACTCGGACTCGGCGGGGTGCACGTCGGAGCGGGCGTCGGGGCCGGAGAGCAGGCGGCCCGAGGCCAGCTCGGCCTCCACCGCGGCGGTGGCCGCCGCGTCGGGCAGGTCGTCGCCGCGCCGGTCCTCAAAGTCCTCCAGCCAGTCCGACACGTCCTGGGCCCAGGCCACCAGCGCATCGTGCGCGGCAACGGCGGCGGGGTCGGAGGAGGCGCTGAGCGCCGCCGTCAGCTCCGCCAGCGAGGCGGGCTGGCGCGCGGCGGCCGCTGCCAGCTCTTCGCGCACCGCGTCTTCCACGGTGCGGGCGCCGACCTCGGAGCGCAGCGCCTCCACGCGGTCCTTGTACTGCGCCACCGCGGTCTTCTCACCAGACAGGGGGAAGGGGATGCCCTGCATGAGGGGGGAGGGTGAGGGGTGGGGTTGGTGTGAAGTCGGGGTGAGTGGCAGTCAACTGGTGCACCTCCGTGGTTCACAGGGGCAAGCACGCATGACCTGCGTGCAAAGATGCCACACCCAAACCATGACTCTACCCCTCCCCCCAAGTGGTACCTGGAGTCCCTTGAGGAACTCCCGGAATTGCCGCTGGTTCTCCCGGAACAGGGTCAGGATGGGGTCCTCCTCCCTCTCTGTGGGGGCGGACGGAGAAGGCGTGCTGTTGGTTGTGCGTCCGAAGTTTCTGATGTCAAGTACCACTTGCATCCAAGCAAAGTTTATAAAGGGCATCACTCACGCTGGGCGGCAGCCTCCGCGAAGAATCGCAGGTGCGCTCCCTGGGCCAGGGCCCGAACCTCCGGCATCTGCAGAGGTGGAGGCAGTGAGGTTGACACCGCGCTCGCTGGGAGCAGAAATTGTTGCACATCGCCCGTACACGCAGGGTTCACCCCGCTCACCAATCGCCGGAGGCCTGTGCGGGTGGCCAGAGCCAGCAGGGCCATGATAGTGGTGTGGTGGCCCCCCGACAAACGTTCTCCAGGCGCGGACCGGCCAGATATCCAATCAAACAGCAGGGTTAGGTACTCTGGAACTGGAACCAAGGGGTGAATCGGGCACCCAGGCAGGCTTACGCGCGAAGTTGGGGCTCAGTAACAAATGTGGTACAGGGTCAAAACATGTCGGCCACCCCTGCCGGAGTGGGGGTGCATCACTGGCGAATTGAGGGCGCGCGGAGGCTTCCACAGGGAACAGGCAGTGGTGAGCAGGATCGATTCATCAGTCCATCACCTGGCGTGGGGCATGCACCAGCCCATCTGATCTGCACTCTGGATACCGCATCCTTGAGCCCCTGCACAGTGAAGTGATCGGAGGGTGACCGATTCATCGGCCGGTTGTACGGCCCCCCAGGCCACGCTTCATCGGGCCCAAACTTGGCCTGACATGGTGGCTACTCAGGCGGACCAGGTGGTGATCCACCCGCTCGTCCTCCTGTCCGTTGTGGATCACTACAACCGAGTGGCCAAGGACACCAAGAAGCGGGTGGTGGGCGTGCTGCTGGGCGAGAAATACAAGGGCCGGATAGATGCTACCAACAGCTTTGCAGGTGAGGCAAGGCTCGGGAGTGGTCCAGATACCCTGCAGAGATGGGGTGCAGGTCACTGACGTGAGCCTGTGCCCTGCCCTTCCCGGCCACAGTGCCCTTTGAGGAGGATGAGCGGGATCCCTCCATCTGGTTTCTGGATCACAACTACCTGGAAAACATGTTCCGCATGTTCAAGAAGGTCAATGGTGCGTCGAGGGGTGGGCACCAGGGATGGGTGTGTGTTTGTTCTCAGAGTGTGCATGTTGTGTGGAGAGCGTCTGAGCATGGTGTGCACGCCATGCATCCGCGCTGCCTCGCACCCCAGACTGCGCCCGCAGCTCAGCGCCCCATGCCCCTCCTGCGCAGCGCGTGAGCGCATCATTGGCTGGTACCACACCGGCCCCAGGCTGCGCGAGTCTGACCTGGACATCCACGCCCTCTTTGCGTCGTACTGCGACAACCCGGTGCTCGTCATCACGGAAGTGCAGGTGCGGGGCAGCGTTCTGGATCTGCGCATGTCGCTGCTGGCTTCACGCTGCTCCAGATGACAAGCTTGGGTCACCAAGAACAGGGGGCCGGGCCTGCTCCCACAGATCGAGGTGGTAGGGTGCACCAGGCAAGAGCAGGTACACAATCCTCCTGAATATGCCTCCTCACACTCAACCCCACCCCCTCATGCTCCCCCTTTCCAGCCCAAGGCCATGGGCCTGCCCGTGCATGCCTACGAGAGCGTGGAGGAGGTTCGGGAGGATGGCACGCAGAAGAGCCGCCGGGTGTTTGTCAACCTGCCCACTGAGGTTGGAGCCACGGACGCCGAAGAGATTGGTAAGATGTCTGCTTGAGGGGGGGGGGGGGGGTATGGTCGGTGATGCAGGAGGTGCAAAGGGCCGCTGGAAGGCTTAGCTGTTGAGGCCCGGCCCGCAAGTGTATATGTGTGTGGGGGGGCCCCTTGGAAGGCCTCCGAACTCTCAGGCTGGCGCCCTGCCACGGACGCAATTGGAGCTGGAACATCTCATCCACCCCCCCTGCTCCAATGCACCCCTGCCCTGGCCATCTGTGATCAAGCCCCCTCCACACCCTGCAACGCTGCCCAGCTCCCTTTGCCCCGTCAGTCCTACCCCTCGCACTCCCGAGTCCCTCCCTCCCTCTCGTCCCCGCCCAGGCGTGGAGCACCTGCTGCGCGACGTGCGCGATGCGACGGCCTCCACGCTTTCCTCCCGCGTCGACGGCATGGTGACGGGCCTGCGCACGCTAGCGGCGCGGCTGGCGGAGGTGCAGCAATACCTGGCCGCGGTGGTGGAGGGGCGCCTGCCCCTGCACCACGACATCCTGGCCGGCCTGCAGGATGTGCTCACGCTGCTGCCCAGCCTGGGCGGCGGCAGCCTGGCCCGCGGCCTCTCCGGCCAGGTCAACGACGCGCTGCTCAGCGTCTACGTCGCGTCCCTGGTGCGAGCGGTGATTGCGCTGCACAGCTTGCTGGAGAACAAGGAGGCGCGGGTCGCCGCCGAGGCCGCCTCCAGCAAGGTTGGGGGGGGGAGGGGGGGGGATTAGAAGGAGGGGGGGGGGGGGAGCCAGAGGGCTATGGAGCAGGTTGTGTGTACCTGGTAGGGTGTGAACACCAAGAGAGGCTGGTGTGTTTTTCCGGCATTTGATGTTGTGTGTGTGTGTGCATGCATGTGGCTTGAGGGAGGGACGTTTGATGGGGAAGCACCCTAGAAGTTGGGCTGCGGGGTGGGAGTTATGACGGATGATGAGCGGTCGGCAGTTGCCTGCTTCGCCTGGTCCTATTGCGTAGGATGAGAATGGATGTACTGAAGGCAATCTCAACAATATCATCTCGACTACCAAACCACTTCAGGATGCGGGCAAGGTGGAAGGCGCAAAGGCGGCGATCGAGCGCGCCGAGCCCGAGGCGCCGGCCACGGCCGAGAAGAGCAAGGAGAAGTGAGCGCGGCGCAGCTTGTCACTGACAGCAGCACGTGCATTGGCGTGGAACGCGTGCCAGGTCGGGGCCTGGTGGACATTGGACCTGATGGGCAGGGATGCCAGGCCTCTTTGGCGCCTGCAGTGGCTGTTTCCAACCCAAGGACCCTGGCCTGTAACCTGTGATGCAGACACAGAGAATCCTGTCTTGACACAGTGACTGGACCCGCATGCAGGATTCGATCGTGTCATGGGTAAGGTAATGCTTGCATGAACTTCTGGAGGAATTCTCCATGCCACAGCCATCTGGTGCGCCCATTGTCCTGAGATTTCTTGGGCTTGGGCACTTTAAGAGGCCACGACCATAAAGGGTACGGAGGAAAGGCGAGCACGCGGAGCATCCACTCCCTCTGCTCCACCGAGCGAGTAAGACCTGCGATTGATGCCATCCCCTGACTATCGAGGGCGTAGATACTCAACAACATCTCACCATGGCGATCCTGCAGACTGGATTCATCGCCAGCGGTAGGGTTGATCCGGCCAACAGTGCCGAGATCACTTCCCCCACCCCGCTCGCCCTTCCACATGCCGATCTGGTCAAGGCGTACCCAGGGGGCTGGGGCTTCGGCTTGGCCTCCAATGCAGGCGGCTCTCTCTTCGTGTGGGGCGTGAACGCTGCCACGCTGCTGGACAAACAGGGTGCGGGACCGGCACGGTGGTGGTCGTGTCCGGAGCACTTTGCCGCTTATATTACCCGCCCTACCCCATCATGCCCCTCTCACCTCAACGATCCCCAGGCTCGGCGGAGGATGGAGCCGATCCGAGCGCCCTGGACCAGGTCCTCGGTGACGGTGTTACCACAGCAGCGGCAGGGTTCGACCATGTCCTGGTGGCCACCGGCGAGGAGACCCACGTGTTTGGGCCCTCCTACACCCCGCAGGGTGTCCGGGGTCTGCACCTGGCCTCCATCCACACACCGCACCCGGTGGCTGCCCTGGCCGCAGGGGAGCACCACAGCTTGATCCTGACCCGGGCCGGCTCCCTGTACGCCTTTGGCCTCAACCGGGAGGGCCAGCTGGGCACGGGCCGCACAGATGCCCGCGGCCCGGAGGCCCCCGCCCTGGTGCTGGGCCCGGGGTCCAGCCGGCCCGAGCCCATCACGGCGGTGGCCGCCGGGGCACGACACAGCCTGGCCGTGACCCGCCAGGGTCAGGTCCTGGGCTGGGGCTGGTCGCTGCATGGCCAGGCGGGCACGGGGGAGGCGACCCCGGCGGTGAGCAGTCCCCACCTTGTGGCCGCGCTGGGGCCGCTGGTGGTCGACTCCGTGGCGGGGGGCCAGGCCCACTCCCTGGCCCTCACCCAGGACGGGGACGTGTATGCCTGGGGCCTGAACGGCGACGGCCAGCTGGGCGACGGCACCACCCAGACCTCGCTCCAGGCAAGTCGACAGGGGTCTTTGGGGGGTGCAGATGCAGCGGACTTGCCAATGGTGACGCCTAGCGCACGGTTTCGGAGCCTGCCTAGGATTTTCGACTGCCAACAAAAATAGTGCAGGGATCATGGCCCTCGCTTGCCTGTGATCTGCGTCAGCCATGCCGCAAGACCAGAGCGATGTTTTTCAGTACTGCCTGTGCACCGCATACCCGTCCCTCGCCGCCCCAGCCACCGCACTCCCGTCGCCAACCCTCCACTGGCCTGGCAATCTCCTGCAGCCCAAACTGCTGGAGGCGGTGACGGTGCCCGTGGCCAGCATCAGCGCCGGCGCACGGCACTCCCTCCTGCTGACCCGGACGGGCTGCGCCCTTGCCGCCGGACACGGCGCGTTTGGGGCCACGGGGACGGGGCGCTACGAGGACAGCCTGGCGCCCACTGCCGTCGCCAGCCCGGCCGGCAGGCGGGTGACGGCCCTGGCGGCGGGCTGGTGGCACAGCCTCTTCGTGCTGGCGTGAGTGGGATGCGCGGCGGCGGCGTGCTGGGCAAGGTGCCTCCCTGGAAATCTGCACTCACAGCGCACCCCGGCCTGCATGACTTTCGCTGATCCCCAGTATGCGCCCTCTGCGTGACCAGTTTGCTCCAACAACCTCGCGACCCCTGAGTTTATTTTCTGTGCACTGCAATGCTAGCCTCCATACCGGCACGTGACCAGTCTGTGAAAGGCACCCAGGCAAGAGTGCACTGCAAGGTCCAACCCACAGCCCACCAGCTGCAATCCTTGAGTCCTCTCGTGCAGCAGTCCCCGCAACCAAACCCCAGGCGATTCTCCCAAGGAGCGCGTCACGACATCGCCCATAAACCCAACGTCAGGCGTCCTGCATCCACTCCGCCGCGGCGCGCACAGAAGCGTGCGCCCCCGGCGCTCGTGGCAGGCCGTAGTGCTGCGCCAGGGCATCCAGGACGCCCGCGTTGTCGTCGGCGACGAGCAGCGCGCCCAGCTCAGCGGCCTTCAGCACCCCGCTGCCGTCGCACGCCTTGAGCCAGGCCATGAGCGGCGTGTAGAAGCCGTCGTAGCTGGGGTGGGGTGGGGGGGAGAGGAGGGCGGAGGAACTTGGATGGGTGGGTGTCAGTCAGTCTGTGAGCGTCAAGGCGGCCGACAGGGCTGGTGGCCCATGCAGATACCAGCTCGAGATCAACAGGGTGCTCGGGGCCTCTATCAGGAACACCATGCTCCCCAATCCCACTGGCAGGCCACTCCTCTCTCATACATCCCAAACCCACTTGCACAGAATGATGGGCACAGGGTGCTTGGACCCCAGCTTGCCCAGCTGCGCGAGCGTGAGCAGCTCGAACAGCTCGTCCATGGTGCCCAGGCCGCCCGGCAGGAAGACGTAGGCGGTGCGGTCCGCCTCGCCGGGGCGCACCGCGCAGTCCACCAGCGCGACCTTGCGCGGGGCCAAGAAGCGGCAGTAGACCTGGGCGTCGGCGGGCAGGTAGGAGGCGGCGGTGCGGACGGAGGTGCCTGCCTCCCGGCTGATCTTGATACCGCCCACGGTGCCCCCTGCAGCCAGCGCGCCCTCAGTGGCCGCCTCCATCATGCCCGGGCCCCCTGCGTCGGGGGTGGCGGTGGTGGGTGCACACATGTGGTGCATCTCGCCAGCTGACTCTAACACACTGTGCGCTCGATCCATGCTGTCTGTCCAGAAGGGCACCATCAGCGACTGTGTTTGCCCAACCTTGGGATGCATCTTGGTCAGCACGTCCCAGAGCCCTCACTTTGCGCCTGCATCCCCCTCAATGCCCCACCCCCCTCCCCTCCCATTCCTCTGACCCACCTCCGCTCCAGGTGGTGGACCCCAGTAGCCGGGCCACCTGCTCCCCCAGCTGCACGGCGGTCCGCCAGTGCGGCGACTCGCGGCGCAGGCGCGCCGAGCCGTAGTACACAACGCCTCGCCCGAGGCGCTCGATGAGCGCGTAGCACGCCAGCAGCTCCTGCTGCACCGCCGCCGCTGAATCGCGCACCACAGCGCCGGCCAGCTCACCGTGCAGCCTGTGTTGGTGGTGGCGGAAGGCGGTTCCCAAGGAGGGGCGGGGGTGGGGGGAGGATTGATGGGGAGAGGGTGAGTGATGGGGTGAGTGGTGGGGAGCATAGGCATCTAGAATTCAGTACGAACATGCACATGTGTGCGAGAGGAGGTGGGTCCCGGCACGGAATGCTCCTGATAATTCCCTTGCCGGTATGTTGCGCGGGACTGTCACCCTCTCCTCATAGGGAGCCCGCATGACGGCGGCGGGAACATTGTCATCTGCCCTCAATAACTTCCCCCTCCCCTCTTCAAGCCCCGGCCCGATGCTGGCCCCCCATGTGTACCCCCCCCCCCACACATACACACATACACACCTGCTGTGCAGCCACTCCCAGGTGGCGTTGGTCATCTCCGCGCCCAGGGTCTGCACCACCGCGCCCCCCGCCATGCACCCGATCTCCGCGCAGCGGGGGAGCGCCGCGCCGCGCAGCGTGCCGTACAGGAACCCGGCGGCAAAGAGGTCGCCCGCGCCCGTGGCGTCCACGACCCTGACCCCGGTGCAGGCGGGCTGGGCATGCACGACGTCCGAGCCGCGCGACCGCACGACGCAGCCCCGCTCGCCCAGCGTGACCACCGCGGTGTCGCAGTGCGCCGCGAGGTATGCCAGGCCGCGCAGCGGCCCGCCCTCGTCGGCGCCGCGGCGCTCGCCCACCACCTCGCACGCCTCGTCCTCGTTGGCGAAGCAGAGCGCCACCGCGCCCGACTCCAGCAGCGCGCGCAGCGTGGGGCGGAAGGCGCGCACCACCTCAAAGGAGGCCAGGTCCAGCGCCAGGCGCGCGCCGGCGGCCTGCGCCGCGCGCACCGCCGCGTCCAGCATGCCCGGGATGTAGGCCGCGTATGCTGAGGCGAAGAGCCAGCCCGCGCCGGCACAGGACCCTGCGTCCAGCTCGCCGGGGTCCAGCGCCGCTGACCCCGCGATGGCGGTGCGCATCGTGCGCTGGCCGGGGGCGGAGAGGATGCAGCAGCGCGCGGTGGGCACGGGCTTGGCCAGCACGCGCGAGACGTCCACGCCCGCGCGCCCCATGCTGCTGCTGAACAGCACGCCCCACTCGTCCTGGCCCCGTGCGCCCACCTGGGATGAAGAGGGCGGGGAACTTGGGTTTGTGTGTGTGTGAGGAGGGGGGGGGTAAGGAGTGGTTTCTGAGAGTGGTGGAGACAAGAAGGGGCCGGATCTGTGACCTGTAAGGAACTTCAATATGTATACTACTGTGCGGACATTCTACGGATCTCGTGGCAGACAGACCTCAGCACACCCACTCACACCCACCCACCAGGCGGGCGTGCACGCCGAAGCCGGCCAGGCCTCGCGTGGTATTGGCAGCGCTGCCCCCGGCTCTGCTGTAGTACTCGCCGGCCTCGGCCAGGATGCGGCGGACCTCCTCCAGGGTCACGCGGTGGGAGCCCCCCAGCTCGTCGTCCACTCCCAGGGAGCGCAGGGAGCCCTCATCGGAGACCTGGCGGGGCAGGGGTGTGGATGTGTGCACGGTCAGGTCTGAGGATGCTCAGGCGAGTGGATGCTCCAAGGGAGCGTCGATTCTGGTTCCAGGATTTTTGAGATGCCAGCCATGCACTCCAGCACTGCAGGAGAACCCTCCGCCCCCTCGCACACCCATTCCGGCGCACCGTGAGCAGGTGATCGACGATCGCAATCGGCTGCAAGGCCACAATCTCAACCCCGGAGCTGGCAGCTCCATCGGGGGTGCTGGATGCCAGATCCAGGGCCAGCCCCAGCCGGTCTCCCATTGGAGCAGGCTCCACAGGAACCCACCACGGGAAGTGCAACGTCAATCTTCACGAGCGTGGTGTTGAATGGCTTCCATGCACTGGTCGGTCAACATTATAAGACTGCTCGGCAAAGTACGTCTCTGATCGCCTGTGCCGGTGTCTTGCAAATTTCTCCGACATGGCGCGCGCCTCATGAGACAGAGTCGCGGGCTCTCATCTTGGCCATGGAGCCCAGCACCCCCCCAGACGTGCTGCTCATTCGCCCAAGGCTATGCATGGAGTCTCGACCGCGTGTTTCTGTCGAAGGAGCGCCCCCAGTGCTCGTGCATGGCCGGTGCCAGGTCAAACCCCGGTCGGCAGGGTTCGGTGTCCTGAAGACCGCATCGGCATGATCTGCAGCATCAACCCCATCAATACGCCGCATCGGCGTGTACTATTCCCGAGGATCTCTGTAGACCGGGGTTCCCAGCGAAGAGGAGCGGGTGGGTGGGGACCCGATCGTGTACGGCAGGGTCCCACCACAGTCCATGCTGCAGAGCAGTCGGCTGGCCCTGGGAAGTGCAAGCCAGGCAACATTGTGGTCGCCGTCGACACAACGCAAGTAAGCACGAGCTGCATAGAATGGAAAGGATAGTCAGAACTTGAATCTGGCCACTCACCGAGCAGCCAGCAGGAGTGGCAGCACTGCCAATCCTGGAAGCATCAACATACAGCATTCAACAGACCAGGGCCTGGTGTGTCATTCCTGCTCGGCAAAAATCCTGGGAGGACCAGGCAAGAACAGGGAACGCCACTCCCTTGACCCCAGCCACCCCCTGTGTCCACGCAGGACTCCCTGTCGGCCCTCCACTGGGCCATCTCCCACCTCTACCGCGAGGGCGAGTCCTCGCTGGTCATCCTGCACGTGGTGCCCGACGTGTACGACTCACCTGCCCCCGGGTCCATTTACTACGAGGAGACGGCCGACCCGGAGCTGGAAGCCGCTCTGGAGGCCGAAGCACGGGCCTTCCTGGAGGAGCAGTTTGTGTCCCGGGCCGCGGCGGCGGGCATCCCGGCGCGCGTGGTGCTCGTGCGGGAGGGCAACACGCGCCACGTCGGCTGGGCCGTCGCCAAAGCTGCCGAGGAGCTGCAGGTCGGGAGGAGGTGTTGTGCAGGTTGGCGGGTGCGCATGTTGAGCTTGCCGATGCTCGAGGGGTTCGACCTGGGAAGGCCCATTGGTTGCTGGCATATGTCCTCGCAAACAAACACCCGGATAGCCATCTGCGCACCTGGCACTCCCTCTCACAAACTCCTCTTTCTGAAACTCCCAGGCCTGCCCGCTGGTGCTGGCCAAGCACAACCAGAGCGCGTGGGAGGCGATGTTCCTTGGCTCGGTGGCCACTTTCTGTGCCGCACACTGCAAGCAGCCGGTGCTCCTCATCCCACCCATCACCCAGAAGTGATGCCCTGCGTGGTGCTGGGCATTCACAGCCCCCAAGCGCCAAAGTATAGCCTCGGGCCTGCAGCACCATGCTTCATCCTGGAATTTGATTGTCCACGCCCCAACAGATCGAGGCGCTGCCTCCTACTTCATGGTGGACCCCGCCGCCCCTGCCCAGGCCCCTGTACACCTGCCTGCTCAAGCAGGATTCCTGTGCCTTGCCTTCATTTCCCCCAGAGTTTCGTACTTTCTTGTGTTATGCTCGTCAGTTGCAGCTTGCAGAGGGTACAGAGGTGACTCGTGTGGCCAAGTGCCTGCACCTCTCGGGGTCGCACCACGAACACCGCACTCCACCAGGCCCCATGGCACCCAGGTCAGGCCGTCCCGGCCGCCGCCGCCTCGCCGCCCTTGAACCAGGTGACGTCGGGCACGGCGGCCCCGCCCGCGTCGCTCAGGATCAGTGTCCGGGCCTCCGCGTTCTCGTACCAGCGCTGCAGGTTCTCGCGCACGGGGCGTGCATACTCGTTGCCGAAGCAGGTGAGCGTGAACCAGAGGAAGGCGGAGTGAGTGACCACCGCAATGTTGGTCTCCGGCCGCGTCATCAGCCACTGTGTGCGAGGAAGAGGGGGGACACGGGCGCTGACTCCGAGGCTCCGGGGATGGTGGTGCGACAGGGAGAGGGGGCAAGTGCATGGCTGGGCGACACGACGGAGAAGGAATCCGTCCATTCACCCGTGTCCCTGCAGATCGCCAAGGGGCCACGATGGCACGAGCTCGCTGCCGAAGCCACGCTCTCGTCCTTGCTGGGACACTGCAGTGGCCCCGGCCCCGTCACCCCCCACCATCACGACCAGCAGCCAGACACCCGCGCGGCGCGCCGCCGGCCCACCTGCAGGAACTTCATGCCGCGCTTGACCACCTGGCCCTCGCCCTCCACCAGGCCCGGCGACCAGAGCTCGTCGGCGTCGCTCTCGATCAGCGAAAAGTCGACGCCCGGGAAGGCGGCGCCGGCCTCGCTCACCGCCCGCCGCTGGTCGCAGTGGCTGGGGCCCAGGCGCTCGCGGCAGAGCTCGTGCGCCACGAAGGCGACGCCGGGGGGGAGGTAAAGCGCGGCGTGCTCGGCGCGCACGTTGGGCTCCCCCGTCTGGGCGCGCATGAGCAGCTGGTCGGGCAGCGGGGCGCCTAAGTCCATGCCGTCCTCCTCGTCGGGCGGCGGGGCAATGGTCTGGGGGAGGTGCGGCAAGCCAAACACGCCCGCCGCCGTCTCCAGGGCTCGCATCATGGGCGACACCACCACCAGCTGGGGGGGTGGGTGGGTGGGTGGTTGGGGCGCGCAAAATGTAGAGAAAGCTGGTCAGGGGCAGGTAGGGTCAGAGACGGGGTTCAGAGTATCAGGACACCATGCGACCATGCCCCAGCTGCGTCACTGTTGATCTGCGCAGGGCTCTCGTCAAAGCTGTGGGCGCATGCGAGATCTGTCGGCCCCCGCATGCGTGCGGGCAGAGAAGCACGCAGGCAGAGAAGCCACGCATGCCCAACGTACCCCCCCCCCCCCCCAAACCACACATGAACCTCCAGCGCCCATTTTTGCATGCGCACCTGGACACTGTTGCATGGAGGGTTGGAGGCCATGTGCACCGCCAGGGTGTGGGCCTGCTTCCACCCCACCGGCGTGAGGTGGGAGTCAGGGGTGTTGATGCCAATGTTGTGGAAGCCCTCGCCATGCCGAATGAAGTGGATGGTCTTGGTGTGGCAGATGGGCATGAGGCTGAGCTGGGGTTCGTACTTGGCCGGTCGGGCGTCCATGAGGTTGGTGGGGGACGACCCGATGGGAGTTCCGTTGGCATCTGGGGGGGAATGGGTGCGAGGTGGAGCAAGCCCTGTGAGTGCTGCGGCGGCCTCCAGGGGGGCGCTGTCCAGCGGCTCGCCATGCGCCATGCACCGCACCCCGCCCTACCCGTGTGGTCGGTGAGGATGTCCTGGAACTCCCGACGGATCTTGGCGGTGTGGCGCAGGTAGTCATGCATGCCACTGCTCCAAAACAGATTGGGCTTGCGCTCCCATTGCCCCGTGCACCAGTTGACAAACTGCTGGTTCAGGGCAGTCACGTACTCCCGGAAGTGCTCCGCCCTGTCCTTGCCCTTCTTCTGCCCGCTCATCCTGGGGCCGGCTCTGACGCGGGTCGTAAGAAGTGGAGGACACTATCGTGTGACCATGGAGCTCGGGGCGGCTCTGCAAGGACCGTGCGCTCTGGGTTGGGGGTCCAAGGATGCTGTGGTCGCCACAACGGACCGGGGCAGAGGCAGTGGCTGGAGGCGCAGCAGTGCGAGACAGGGACAAGTCTAGAACAAGGATGTCGATTCAAGGGCATGCGCCATCATGCATGCCCCGTTGTTATGTGCACGTCTCCTGCACCGCGACCGCTGCGCCCCCAGGGGCGCTGCCCTGCGGGGCAGGGTTTGATCCGACGGCGACAGATATGGAGGGGGGGGGGGGTCTGATCCACTTCTGGGAGTCGACCTCCTATTACCCACTCCCACCCTCTTGATGCCTGATGCCAGTGCCATGGCCTACCTGGATGCCACACTGCTCTCTGGCAGGCTGTGCCAGCCCCCCTCCCTCGGCACCTGCTGTACACCCTTGTTACTCAAATTCCCAGCCCCTTGTCCCAGAAGTGCTTGTTCTGCTCCTGTTACACGCACGCCTCACCAACATGTCACCCCCTGGCCGCGGTCTTGGCGGCCTGGTGGTTGGAGGTGAGCTCCGCCAGCACGTCCTGGGTCACGGGCTGGTGCCCCTGGTACTCCATGGTGAACTCGCCCTTGCCCTGCGTCATGGAGCGCAGCGCGGTAGAGTAGCCGAACATCTGGTTGAGGGGCACGGAGGCCTCCAGCACGGTGTCGTCCCCCTCCTGCTCCGACCCATTGATCACGCCCTTGCGCCGGTTGATGTCGCCCATGACCCCGCCCTGGAACTCGGTGGGCGCCTGCACCTCCACGCGCATGATGGGCTCCAGCACCGTGGCCCCCGCACGCTCGAAGGCGGCGCGGAAGGCGTGCACGCAGGCCAGCTTGAAGGCTAGCTCGGAGGAGTCCACCGCGTGCGCGGCGCCATCGGTGAGCACCACGCGCACTCCCTCCACGGGATGCCCGATGAGGGAGCCGGAGTTGACGGCCTCGGCAAACCCCTTTTCGCAGGCGGGGAGGTAGGCGGGGGGGATGACGTTGCCGATGATGCCGTTCTCGAACTCAAACTTGGTGGGGTGGCCGGGGGGGAGGGGCTCGATACGCCCCGCGACGCGCGCGTACTGGCCCTGCCCCCCCGACTGCTTCTTGTGCAGGTAGTCGAAGGTGGCGGCGCGGGTGATGGTCTCGCGGTAGTTCACGCGCGGGCGCCCCACCTCGCAGTCCACGCGGTACTCGCGGCGCATGCGCTCTATGTAGATCTCCAGGTGCAGCTCGCCCATGCCGCTGATGACCGTCTGCCCGCTTTCCCCGTCCTGGGCCATGCGGAAGGTGGGGTCCTCCTTCTGGAAGCGGTTGAGCGCCTTGGAGAAGTTGGCGCTCTGGTCGCGCGCGCGCGGAGCCACCGCCAGGCTCATAACCGGCTCGGGCACGCGGATGGAGGTCATGGCCACGCGCGTGCCGTCGGTGAAGGTGTCGCCCGACGCGCACTCCACGCCGAACAGCGCCACGATGTCGCCCGCCCCTGCCTCGGCGATGTCCTCCAACTCGTTGGAGTGCATGCGCACGAGGCGCGGGACCTTGAGCCGCTTGCCCGTGCTCTGGTTCACGATGTTGTCACCCTTGCGCAGCACACCTGACTTATTATGAAGGGGGAAGGGGAGGGGGGGAGGATGGAAGGGTGTGAGGGGGGGCCGGCTGTGCATGAGAAGTGTGGGTTCCAGTATCACACCCCCGCGCTGACAAGGGAGCACTACCCACAGCCCAGCAGGAAGATTTGGAGATGGAATCGCCAATCACCATCCGCCAACAGCGCAGGGGCTGTTCAGTCTGGTGACCCAATCCCCCCAACACACCGCTGTAGATGCGGACGTAGGTGAGCTGGCCGAAGCGCCCCTCCTCCAGCTTGAAGGCCAGGGCCACCAGCGGCCCAGACCTGGCGGGAGGAGGGCAGGAATGAGGGGTTGACAGTGATGCATGCAAGCAAGGTATGGGACGCAGCAGGACCAGCACCCCATTGCGCTTCCCGCCAGGCTGGCAGGCACAGACAGGACGCTCGTTGGAGGCCTGAGAAATGTACCACCTCAGGCTGACCCACCGCCTCTTCCACCACTCCGCTCAACAATCACTTGCCTGGTGCAGTGTACGGGCACTGGCGCCTCGGAGTCCGCGAGGTCAACCCCGGTGTTGGTGATGTCGATGGGGCAGGGCAGGTAGTCGGTTACCCTGCAGGGAAGGGCAAGGGGTCCCGGAATGCGAATGGTGCATCAATTCCAAGGCCCCACAGTTGTGCCCAGCAGCAAGCCCTGTGCACTGTGCAATGTTGCGCATGAGCCCCGTTCACAGCCTCCTCACCCATCCAGCAGCAGCTGCACCCCCTTGTTCTTGAAGGCAGACCCCATGAAGACCGGGACGAAGCCGAGGGAGAGCGTGGCGCGGCGGATGCCGTGCCGCAGGGAGGCGGCGTCCACCGGTTCCTCCATGAGGAAGAGCTCGCCAACGCCCTCATCCACCTCTGCCACTCGCTCCACCAGCTCCGTGCGCTTGGCCTCCATCTCTGCCATGAATTCCACGGGCACGGGGATCTCTGGGAGAGGGGAAGGGGGTTGAGGGGTGTGACAGTAAGTGGTGCTCTGCATCGTAAGCGGGGTGTGGCAGATGGCAATAGGTGGGAGCTGGGATTTCCAGGCCAGGGTTGTTCGCCGAGAAGTGTGGGATCAGCCCAAAGTTTGGCTTGCCTTCAGTGACGGAGCATTACACCACGTCCTCGCACACACAGCTGAGAGTCCACAGACCCGCCAGGCACCTCAGACCCCCCTCCTTCAGCGCACCTACGACGGTGTCTCCACTGGGGCCCTCGAACACGAAAGCCTTGCGCTCCACTAGGTCGATGAGCCCCTTCATGGAGTCCTCCACACCCATGGGGATCTGCAGGTAGACCGCGGACCGGCCCTGGGTTACGGCATGTGCAGGAAGGCGGGGCACAGCAATGGCGTGTCCCGACCGCCTTTCCAGGGATGGAAGGAAATCTCCGACGCTGTGCTCGAATGCACAGCACTGGACCGAGCATTCCCCTTGAACCCCCTCTGATTTGTCAACCTTACACACACTGCTCGCACCTGCACGGCTGCGGCGTTCAAGCGCAGCTTCTCCCTCAGCTGCCGCAGGACCTTCATGGGGTCAGCCCCGGCCCTGGAGTGGGAGTGATCGGAGTGGAGAGCGTCAGGTCGGCATCCGGACCCAACAGGAGACGAGCATGCCGGGTTCTACAAGGAGTATTAGACATCACACAATACAGCACTGTGACTAGGAGTGCACCTCAACTGAGGAGGGTTCCTTCCAATGGCGCCTGGTAACAACCCAACCCCACCTGTCCAGCTTGTTAATGAAGGCCAGGCGAGGCACATCGTATCGCCTCATCTGCCTGTCCACGGTGATGGACTGCGACTGGACGCCTCCCACGCTGCAAGGGGAAGGTTGCGCTGGCTCCTGAGCACATGCAGGGGCCAGTGGAGGAGCCATCGGGGCAAGTGTGTGGCCTGATCCAACCTCCTCCCCTGCTGCCCACCTGCACAGCACGAGAATAGCTCCATCCAGCACTCGCAGGGCACGCTCCACCTGAAGGTTACAAGGTGAGGGCAGGGGTACAGAGGATCACAGCAAGGCGTGGTGAGGAGACTCAGTGGCTTTCCTGGGCCCCCATCACTGCTGGCATTGATTAATGTCATGAGCGTGCATGTGCATCTTGAAGACATCCCACGTTACCCCACCCATGCCCAGCACCTCGATTGTGAAGTCCACATGGCCTGGGGTGTCGATCAGGTTGATGTGAGTGTCCTTCCACTGGCAGAAGGTGGCTGCAGACTGGATGGTGATGCCTTTCTCCCTTTCCAAGTCCATGGAGTCCATCTTGGCTCCCACGCCGTCCTTGCCTCGCACCTGGGAGGTGGGGCGAGGCGGGGTTGGCAGGGTGCGGCGGGGTGACACCTAGGATGCATGGGCACCAGCTTGGTGCACAGCCTCTCAAGCACGCCTTGGCTCCGGCCAGCACCCATCCCTTCGTGCCACTCACCTCATGGATGGCGTTGATGCGACCAGTGTAGTACAAGATGCGCTCGGACAGGGTGGTCTTCCCACTGTCAATGTGTGCAGAGATTCCGATGTTCCTCACGTCCGACAGGAGGGCCCGATCCTCGTCCTGGACGCCCGATGGCAGTGCCGCATATCCTCTTGTCGCTGCTACGTCCAGGCTACCGAGGCAGGGAAGCAGGCCAGCAGCTCCGGGGCCCTGGGGTCCAGGCGCATGCAGGCATGGTGCGCGCCCTGTCGCGGCGAGCAGCCTGCGGGCCACGCCCAGCATAATTAAACTACACTCAGTACGTGTGAGATTGACCTCTGACTTTTGCGCAGTGGATCACACTGGGCCACGCCTGCCCCCTGTTTGGGACACCAACGAGCTGCACGGAGCAATGCTCGCCAGCTCCCGTGACCCACGAGTGATTCAAAGCTAAACCCAAGGACTCTTGAAATAACTCTAAAAATTGAATGACCTGATTGTGAGAGGCCGTTTCGCGGGGTTCGGGCGCCACAAGCCAGGCATTCTCACATTGATGAGTCACCGCCGGCGCGATTATCTGTAGCACTTGACGTAGCAGAAGTTGGAGATCCCACTCTACGCCAAAAATGCCCTCTGCAATACACCCTTGTGGATTCCATGCAGGCATCTGTTACACAGATGCCAGGCCGAACACTTCCTGGACGCGATGCAGGTAGTCCACCTTTTCCAAGCACTCCGGACATGTCACCCCTTTGCTGGCCAGCAGTTTCTTCAGCTGCGCCACCTTGAACTTGTTCAAGTCTGTCTCTGGCGTCAGTTGGATGGCTTCGATGCACCGACTACCGTCCCTGAAGCTCAGCACAAACTTTGCGAGGGCTTCGGACTTCATGTCCCCTGCGGAGGATAGGGGTGGAGGGGCTGAGCCTGCCAGCCATTTTTTCCGAGTTTCATGGCTGATGCATCAAGCAGGCATCACCTTGTCTCCCTCCTTGCTTGGTCAAGTGCATTGTTTGGTCATAGATCACCACCACCCTGACTGCACTCTGATACGTACCCGTGTGCCTGATCGTGGTGCCGGCGTCCCCGCCGCACACAGCAACCACCGCAGGGAAGCTGCTTATGTTGAAGCGCTCCACCATGCCCTGGAAAAGGTGGTGGGTAGGGCACTGGTCGGTGCTGAGCCATGCGAGGAAACTGCTGTGCTCCCATGGGCACGTCGGCACTGAGTGTTTGCGCCGTGCACACCAATCATCCACCATGCCACAGCCGTCGTCGTGGTACCTTAGCTGTGCTGGGCACCTCCGCGATCGCCACCTTGCCCTTGAAGCGTAGGGACAGGCTGCGCGCCAGGGCCCCCGGCTGCTGCTTGGTCGTGAAGAGGAGGACGGACACCCCCCAGGCTGGGCTGGGCTTCAAGAACGCCTCGAGCTGGGCCTGCAGGGACGGGAAGGGGCCGTCGCATGGGGGATTGACTCCTGCATGCCGTCAGGGTAAGGACTGCCGAAAATACACGCATGGCATAGGTGTGCCATCTTGTCAGCAGGGAGTCATATCTCCCATCTGTGTCTCCTCATGCATGCTCGGCACCGTGTTTGATTATCTGTGCAGCACCCAAGCGGCAACCCCGGGCATCCACCCCATGGAGTGCGCCACCCTTTACACTCACAGGGCTGGAGACGCTGGGCACGTCGGAGGGGAGCAGCCCCAGCGCAAAGTCCTTGAGCGCAGCTGCGCTCCTCTCGCCTGAGTAGTCCACGCTCCGCCCCTCCACAAAGGCCTTGATGGTGGGGTAGCCCTGCACGCCGTGCTCCTGGCACAGCGCGGCCTCCTCCTCGCAGTTCACCGCCCCCACCCTCACCACGCCCGCCAGCGCCTCCGCCAGCCTGCCCCACTTGGGCGCCAGCTGGCGGCAGTGGCCGCACCAGGGGGCGTAGAACTCCACCAGCCACACCCAGCCATCCCTGGTCCCGGAGGGGAAGGAGTCCACGCCCAGTTTCCTGACGGCAGGCATGCCGTCATACAGGCCCCCGCCCGGCCGCTGCTGCTGCTGCTGCTGATGGTGGCCCCCAAACCCTCCGGGGAAACCTGGAAGGATGCAACGAGAGGCCGGCCAGGATGAAGAAGGGAGCACTCGAGCCTGACCAGGCCACACCAGAGCGCTGCCGCCACCAGGCCGTGCAGCATTGCGCCCATCACGACCCACAGATGACAGGGAGCGCACTCACCTCCGCCCCCGCCGCCAAACTGGAACTGGATTCGCTGACCACCCATTCCCCCTCCATTGCCAAAAACGGTGCGGAAGGTGGCGAAAGGATCACCCTGTGCAGGGAGGTGCGGGGTGTTGTTTCCTTGTAGAACTCAGGAGAGAACTTGCCACTCTGCCTCCCAGCATGAGGACGGCCATGTTCCCCTTCCCGTCCCACCAACTCACCTGGAAATGGAAACCTGCCCCTCCACCCCCAGGACCGGCCTGGCCTCCCGGTCTCAAGCCATCTTCTCCAAGCTGGTCGTACATGCGCCGCTTTTCCGGATCGCTGAGCACCTCATACGCTGCCGCAACTTCCCTGAATTTCTTCTCGGCGCCCTCCTTGGCATCGGGGTTCCTGTCCGGATGGTGCTTCCTGCACGTCGCCAGTGCATGGACGGCGAGTTGGGCATGCAGAACCTCCCTTCCTAATTATAACTTTTAGTTGAACAAGTGTCCAGAGGGCTCCTTACATGGCTTGTCGCCTGTACGCCTTCTGGATCGTTCGCTCGTCGGCGTCCGTGGCAACGCCCAGCAGGTCATAATACTTGCTGTCACGCACAGCAAGTACTGAGGGTGCGAGGATGAGAAGTAAGCAGGCTCCTGCCAGACACGCGTGTGAGTCCGGCTGCATGAATGCAGCGGCAATCTGCAAACGTCCTCCAGCTACGTCTCCCTATCCGACTATCGGGGTCACGAGTGGTGAATAAGTATGTCGGCTTATTTATTGGGGTATGAATGTGGCTTTGGCAGGGTTGATAGCAAGCTGCGGACGTGGGCACCGAAAGGAACAGCCAGCCCGGAATTCGTCATCTTGGAAAGATTGAATTAGGGCACCTGCACGGCATGCTGCTGTCGATTGGCGTTTGGACAGCCCTCCCATTACCTGGATACTGTGCATTCAAAGGGGCCTTGTGGACACTCGCGCAGATGCACTTGCTGTCAAGTCGTCTCTTGAGGTCCAGTGTGTGGATTGAGGAACAAATGTGCACCTAAGGTTGATTTGGATGCAGAATCTGGAGGTTGTGCAAGCAATCAGATATGCCAGAAATGAGCTCTTCCTCAATGTTGCAACGACTGCCCCTCAAGCTGCGGACACACCCTCCTTTGGAATCAGTCAGCCGCTTCTTGTGCACGAGTTCAGCAATCTGTCTGCAGGACACTGACAGATGCACTGAGATACCCACACTTTAGGCCCACACTACTCACTGCACCGTAAGCATGCTTAGACGTTTTGTCTGTCTGTGCACACGGAAATGACAGAACGGCAGGGTGGGCCAGACTTGTATTTCAGGGGTACGGCGATGAGTTCTTCGCGCCCTTACGGAGATCGTCTGTCGAGGAGGAAGCACCTTTCTGCGGCATTATCTAGGCAACGATTCTACATACGTTGCGGGGCCTGCAACAGGCGCTTAGCGATGCATTTATACCTCTTCGCAATTCGGCCTTGATTAACATAGCACCACCGATCCCACTACAGCTGCCTCCAGCTCCTCAAGGGAGCGCATACCAAGGTCGGTGTCGGTTCCCAATGAAGCTCGACTCGTGTGCACAATGCGGAGCATGCTTGTAATGCTCCAATGCTGCCTCATCTAAAATCCAGGCCAGTGCATCCTCTGACAGCACTGCCCTTCCCCAGGCGCCATGACCAAGCGCGTCCTCGCCCTCTTTGACGTCGACGGGACCCTGACGGTGGCACGCAAGGTGGGAGGTTGCTCAGCGGGACCGCGATGGCACGATCATCTGGTGCATGCTCTGTGAATTGGTCATAAATGTCACTGCTCCTCCTCGACTAGGACATCGAGCCGGACATGGTTGAGCACCTCAAAAAGCTTCGGAAGGTAGGGCAACCGCCATGACCTCAGGCTGGAGTGGACGATCTCTGTGCGAGAGGTGGGCAGTGCAATGCGCAGGAAGACTTTTCACAAGTATCTTGTGTCGTTCTTTGGCAGGCTGTGAAGGTGGGTACTGTCGGCGGCTCCGACCTCGCAAAGCAGCTAGAGCAGCTGGGCAAGACAGGTGATCAGGGGTCGAAACAGGGCTGCTTGGATTGGACTCGAGGCAATGCATGCAGTCGCTCACAGATGTTCAGCCCTTGCGCTCTGTGCAACCCTGCAATTGGTGGGGCGCTCGGGCCTTTGCAGGGACAGGAGGACCTGCTCTGGTCAGAACAGACGTGACACTGCATTGTCTGATCCTCCCAAAGCGTGCCGTCACCAATCGCGTGTCTGTTCACTGAACCCCGCCCACAGTCCTGGAGGACTTTGACTTTGTGTTTGCTGAGAATGGTCTGGTGGCGTATGAGGCGGGTAAGCTGCTGGCGGTGCAATCGATTGCCAAGCACCTGGGAGAGGAGTCGCTGCAGCGACTCCTCAACTTCATGCTGCAGTATCTTTCAGGTGGGGGAATGAACGACCAGTAGGCCAAAACTGGTGTGCTGTCGTACACATCTTGACATCTGGAACTGAGGTCACCCTGTCAGCAGCACATGCTGCGGCCAGTCCACCCAGCCTCCTCCGCTCCTCCCAGGCATCGAGCTGCCAGTAAAGCGTGGCACCTTCATCGAATTCCGTAAAGGCATGCTGAATGTATCGCCCATTGGACGCAACTGCTGCCAGGAGGAGCGGGACGCCTTCGAGGTGTACGACCTCAAGCATGGCATCCGGTGAGTGCCTGAGGACGTGCCCCGCAAGCGCATGGTGCACTCTCTGCCCAGCTGTGCATTCTTTGTCCCAGGACCCTTCCCTTGTCCACATGCTCCCATGACTCACCTGTTCAGGGCAAAGTTCCTCGAGGTATTGAAGGAGAAGTTTGCAGACCTGGACCTCACCTATTCCATCGGGGGTCAAATTTCCTTTGATGTGTTTCCAAAGGTAAGAATGGACATAGACCTGGCCTGTTGAGGTGGTGGCGCCCAGATTTAGTGGGTGTGCGTTGATCAAGATGGGTGTGCGTTGATCAAGATGGGTGTGCATTGATTAAGATATAGAAAGCCTGCACAGATTACCAACGGCGCCAGTTGGGACTGGATGTCCCATGGGAAAGCAGAGCCGCCTTCTTCTCTGATCTTCCTCCAGGTATCATCAATAAAGCCCAGTTAATTAACCATGCGACCACCCCAACTCCACATTCCCATAGGGCTGGGACAAGACGTATTGCCTTCGGTATGTGCGAGAGCAGTTTGATGAGATCCACTTCTTTGGCGACAAAACCTTCGAGGTGGGTTAGGGATGGAGAAGGGTCTGTGTTGCTTGGTGCGTGCTGGGCCCTCGCTCCAATGTGCCACCCGGTCACTCCTGCACGAGGAAATCGCCTTGACTTTGATGTATTCCGTACAGGGTGGCAACGACTACGAAATTTTCGAGTCTCCAGAGACCATCGGCCACACAGTGAATGGCCCTGCCGACACCATTGCCCAAACCACTAAGCTTTTCTTGTGAACTCCTGTGGCAAGGCCCAGGGTGACTTTGAACATGACAATGCAGTTGCTTGTTTCACTTCATGCTGCCGACATTTGGATGCTGAATGGCCCCCCCTGTAGTGCTTGAATAGATTTTATCCAGGTCTCGGTGTCAGGCATGGGTTGGGTCAGGGCGCGAAGGGCGTTCGAACATGGGTTACCGACGGTATTGAAGTCATACCACTCAAAGCTCCCCCCGAATGATCACCAGAAAGAGTAGGAGAATTGTGGTGTATATGCTCCTTGTTCTGGGCTTTGGCGAAGCATAGGCGCCACGCGCGATGTCCCTGTCAGTCGCCCGGAGCCGGCTGACGGAGGAGCGCAAGCAATGGCGCAAGAACAAGCCCTTTGGATTCCATGCTCGCCCCGAGACGACATCCACCGGGTACGTGAGGTTTAGAAGGGCTCCACTGCGTACAGACTCCCCGCTCTGTCATGCCCGACTGTGAGACCTGCACTGCTGCACCATCGGCCAGGGAGACGAACCTGCTGAAGTGGAATTGCCACATCCCCGGCAAGGAGAACACTCTCTGGGAGGGTGGTTTCTACCCACTCACCATGGAGTTCAGCGAGGAGTACCCCGCCAGGCCCCCAAAGGTGTGCGTGGGCACATGTATCTTGGGGGAATTCATGATCTCCAAGCGCCGCTCAAATTGCAAACCCCTCAAACACCAATTTGCCCTCTTCTCAATGCCACGCGCAGTGCAAATTCCCCGCCGGGTTCTTTCACCCAAATATTTATCCTAGCGGGACTGTCTGCCTGTCCATCCTGAACGAGGATGAAGGCTGGCGGCCGTCAATAACGGTGAAGCAGATCCTCGTGGGCATTCAGGTAAGCCGCCTTCTGCACGAGGCTGGTGCGATGTGGAACGGCTGGTCAAGACAGCGCTGTTGAACCTGGCCTTGGAGAGTGCTTACCTTCCCTGCCCTGCCCCCACCGAGCTCAGGAGCTATTGGACACGCCAAACCCCCATTCACCAGCCCAGTCAGACGCCTACCTGATGTTCACCCAGCGGTTGACAGAGTACAAGAGGAAGATCAAGGATGTGGCGTCCAAGTACCCGCCTCCACATTGAGAGCTGCAGGGTGAGCGCCGCATACATGTCAAGCAGCAGCAGCCTCTGTGTGACGCTGGATGTAGAGGTGAAATCCTGCTGAGGGCGCACATCGGCAGCCAGGACACCCTCCGACACGTGCCACTGAGCGTTTTACACCCGGCCGAGTGTGGAGCCTTGGAGGCTCAGACTCAGAAGGAATGAGGGTCCTTCCTGCTTAGACTTCCACCCCTGGCCCAGCCCTGCAGTCATTGGTGCCCGTGCCCAGTTGGAAAGGCGTACTGAGTCTGCCTTCACTGTTTTGCCTGTTACCTCTGCCTCTCTCCACCCCAAGGCTGGTATTGAGGGGGAGCCCAGCAGCCCACAATCTGGATGGCTAGCGATGCTCTCAAGGGAAGGCTCATCTTCTACACCCGGCGCAGTCTGGGGTTCGCATGCCTGCCCTTGGCAGGTCGATGACGTTCCGTGCCATCGCTCCCAAACCAGCATTAGGGTTTGACAAGAAAACGTCGAAATCTGACTGAAGGCAGTACCACTTCACGCGACTTCATGAACATCTGGATACTGTAATTTTGGCGCATGGCATGATTATTTGGCGTAGAACGGTGGACATTGAGGACAACTTAACGCTCGTGCACCCGGATGTTTGTCGGAGCCGAGTCGGTGTCCGGACGATGCCCGGCACAGGAGCCGCACCCCAAACCGTCCGTTTCTCCGCAGAGGAATAGGACTATGTAGAATCAAAGTATCAATTTCAAGGCATTGATCTGACTCTCTGACCTCATGCCGGAGCTGTGCATGTTTTGGCGCAGATGGCACGTTGCCACAGGTACGATGGGTTTCGGAAAGGTGAAGGATTCAGGGCGCTGCTCTACTTCATTGCATATGTGTTTGGGGTATTGTACGGCATTGGTGTGGAGAAGTGATGCCTCCATTATGAACTGTCATGTGAGATGAGGGGCATTTCCTCGCCCGGTGCGAGGTTCTCATCAAAACTCCGGCTTCCCTCCCTTGCACCCCACTCCCCTCCCAGACACATCCCCTATCGTCGCCAGCATACTGGCCGCTATCCACATGGTGTACATCATTCCCATCCTGACAGGCAGGGCGGTGCACGAGTCTGTTTCGGGGGATGGCATCGTAGGTAACATCCTACGCCTTCCGGCTTCTACGGTTGGGGAAGCAATGATTGAATGGGTAGACACGCGCCCCTCATGCTCCCCCACAGGAACATACAGTATTGAGAGCACCGGTATCAGGTTCAATTGTAACGTCAGTACTGCTGTGAGGTTGGCTGTGTATGGCATGTTTGCCGTCCTCCTCGTCTCGGCCATCGTGGAGATCTGCATCGTATCCATCGGTCTCAAAGGTGGGGCGTGCGAGGGGTGGGACATGGCCTGCCCTGAGCGCGCGCTGACAGCTGGGCGCCACTGAAATCCATACAGGTGGGCCACTCGAGGAGTACAAGCGTGCGCCCATCGTCCCCCTTCTGTATGCGGAGGTGTTCCTTTGGGTGCTGGCCCTGGCGTGGACAGGTGGGATGGCTAGATGCACTCGGATCACCGTCGCCCACAGGGCACTGGGGGATGAGCAGGACGGGGGGGGTGAGAGGGCAGCCCTTTGGAATGTAGGCAGAATATGGAGGTATCGAGTCCTGTGTGGCAAGGCATGATTGGCCCTGATTGGCTGTATGTCATTCTCCAATGCCCTGCGCAGTGTACGGCACGTACATGGTCGTCAGCCCCGTCGTGGCAGCTCAGTGCTGGGACAACAATCCCTGTGCGTACAGCAACAGGTTTCCAGCAGCATGTACGGGAGTTCCAGATTCAGGAGGTACGGATATCGTTCTGGAACAAGATGTTGGGAAAGCCGTGCTTGTGAGCGGCGTGAGGGTGTCGAGCAAGCATCAGGAGCAAGCTGCCGTCGCCAAGGGAGCATGGCCGGGTTGAGAGGGGATGTGACATGCGCATTGGAGGGCACGGCCTGCATACAATAGCCTCCTCAAGGACCCATTCCATTGCAGGCGCCAACACCCTGAGCCCTCCTTGCCAAACCCTCTTGGACAACTCGCGGCAATGGGGGTGCGAAGGGACTTGGTCCAGGCCGCTTGCTTCCTTGTCTAATCATCCTTGCAGCAAAGACTGAGGGTTCCCCCGGTTAGCTCCTGACATCAATGCACCATCCTCCCAGGGGCTGCTTTGAGGAATGGTTCTTGCTTGGCACAAGCTATATTCTGCACGATGAGTTCGGAGATGACTCTGTTTCCGCTGGGGATTGGAACTGCTCTGCCACCACCCCGGCAGCTGACAACATTGATGGCTGGGTCGCCAACGCCTTCTTTGATGGTGTGTGAGAGAAAAGGGGGGAAGGGGGGGAGGCGCCACTGTGATGCTGAGCAGGGAGGGCTGACTCTGGCCCGGGCAGGACACTGCCCCGTCAGCGGCAAAAGAAAAATGCCTCGTCCCCTCCGCCACGCTCCTAGGTAACTTGAGCAGGTACCTTGACCGTGCTGACCAGGTGCTGGATGGGAGCGTGGACGACGCCGGATTCAACCTGGATCTGCTGATTGAGGGAGGGACGCTGGCCGCCGTCCGGGCCTACAACCAGCAGCTCCGGAGCCTGGGGTACCTGACACGCAACATCGAGCTGGCGTTCCTCAACCTCTCCGGCCTGCCCTATGACCTGGAGCGAGTGGCCCAGGGCGCACCCTGGGCCGGGTGCCAGAACGAATCCTGCGCGTGGCTCATCAGGTGCGCTGCGCATGCTGCCTTAGGGATCCGTGGGAAGGAGGGACACGTGCTACCGCGCAGCGCTGGGGGACTGCCCCCGTGCCAGCCTGAGCATGCACACGGGCTGGAGCAGCCGCCACTCCCTCCCAAATCCTGCGACCTCGCTCGCAGTGCCTCTGATGCATGCGAGCAGTGGGACCTGCTCCTGGCACTGCCTGTGCCCCGCGATAACAAGCGATATTTTATGATCCTGGTGTGGACGGGCTGGGGCCTGCTGGCGTTCAAAGTGTAGGTGCCGAGGTGTTGTGGGGTGGTGGGCTGTGTGACGAGCGGGAGGTTCTCCGCCATTTTCCACGCCCACTACCAGCTAAACCCGGGAAGTGGGTTTGCTGGAAGTGGTGTGACCACAGGGCGCTGTGTTGTGCCACGTGGGGGGATCAATTTCACCGTCCCCTTCTCACCCGGCTGGGCCGTGTAGTTTCCTGGTGGCACTTGCCTTCAACTCCTTCCCCGACTACGAGGATGTGGAGAGCTGGGAGGGAGGGCTGAGGGTGTTCAGCCGCCTGTGCTGCTTTGGCAACGTCCTTCATGAAGAGGTCATGGAAGAAAGGTGAACACCCGCTGGAGTGAGTCTCACCCCGAGAGCCGTGGATTGTGGGGCTCAGTGGCTTGAAGCCTCAGGACCTTTTCTGAGGGAGAGGACCTGAAGGTCTGCACTCTGCCTCTTGTCATTGGTTTGGGGGAGCATGACGCTGGACCGAGGTCCTGCGATACTCCACTGCCCTGCTGCAGGCACGTGCCTTCCCGCGTCATCGCCCAGAGCCTGAGCATGCTCTTCGGCAGCATCGACCTGGACCCCACCGACCGCCTCTTCGCTGCTCTGCTGCTGGCGGAGCAGCAGCGGGACCAGCGTCAGATCAACATGCGCCTCATGCTGGACAGAGCCGGTGATGGAGGGGACTTTGGGAGGAGGGCGGCCGGTCACTGTACGACCTCTGGACGCCTGAGCTGCGCAATTGCTCTCATGCCATCATGCCGCCCGTCAGCCATCCCAGAGACTCCTCCCGTGCAGGCTTCAAGATGCGCCAGGCAAAGGGCGGGGCCTTCTTCAAGGGTCGCCGTGCCTGGAATAGCGGAGAGCTTGATCCGGAAGAGTCACATGGTGTTCGGGGACAGGGCATGCACGCCTTCCAGCCCTGGCTCGGAGCTGTGGAGGAGGGCCGCTACCCCGTGTACTGCAGGACGGGGCTGCATTACGACGACGCAGGCTTGGGCGAGGAGAACGGGGGCTGGGAAGCCTCGCCAGGAGGTCTCAACGCATCACGCCCGCCGTGGACCCCCTGCCTGCGCGTGACGCATAGGTACATGCCCATGCTCACCCCTGCCGAGGTACCTGCTGAATACCTGTCTCACATCAACCCAGTGGAGGTGGCCGCTGTCTGCTCGGGTGAGTGCATGCTGCAGGCCTGTGAGTCATCCCTGGAGGCCACATGCAGCTGGGCAGGGGGCTGCCGGGTGGCGTCTTGAGGAATTAACATGGCCCTGCCATAATCTTACTGCAACCAATCCCGGTGTTCAGACCCTCTCCCCCGTGTTCCGCATGCCTGCAGGGCCGCAGAGACCCGTGATGGCATCAGCTTTGCAAGACATGCACCGCATGGCAACCTTTGCGGTTGCAGCCTATGGCGTGCAGAACCAGGCATGGAACGGCGGAAGGTGAGGCCGATGCACCTTTTGCAGTTTGCAAGGGTCGCTCTCACAGTGCATTCCGGTGTCCCATGGACTCCACCAAGCGCTCAGCTGATGTTCAGATGCCAGCCACCTCCCTTATGCCAGCAGACGTCCCGTGAGGTGCAGCGGGTGCATTGATACACTGAAGAGCCTATACAGCCGGATCGTGGGAGGGAGGCATGGGCCCCGTCAGCGCAACTGCGATGCTATCCTTGACCTTACAGGTTTGTTGTCTGGTGGAAGCCGCTTTGCTCAAATCTCAATCTCGTGTATCTCAATGGCCCGCACTGCGCTAGGAGTGTGATACCTGTCCTTTACTCTGGTTTCCACTCCTGAGAGAGGAGGGTGTTAGTCGGGCGTTTTCCTCAGCACAGGTGTCCATTATCACCCAGCCAAACCTCCCCATGGCTCACAGGATGCAGACCGATGGACCTGCTCTATGTCTCATGTGAGTTTTGTTATGGGTAGAACCTACGAGCCTGTGTTTTGTTGAACACCCATCTGGCATCTCAGCTTGATCAACCCTTCTCCCCACAATGTTCATCCCAGATGCAAACATGCCAGCAGGCGCACTCCCGTATTTGGTGATGTGGGACCGCAGCCATGATACTCTCGTCATCTCACTGAGAGGGACAGGTGTGACGTTGAGTCTTTGCCGGACTGTCACCCACGAAAAGCTCGTTCAGTTTCAGGCGTTTGCAGCGGCGTGTCTGGGTGCCATGCCTGGGCACAGCATCATCTGACTTTCCCCATTGCACCAAACCTCCTTGCAGTGAGCCTGGCAGATCTTGTCACAGACCTGCTCAGTCAGCCAGTCGACGTCTCGGACTGGCTGCCTGCTTGGGTCCGGGTGGGTGCAAGGGGCCGCCACTGGATGTGGGATGCAGTCAGCAGAGCGGCTGAACAAAGATTGCCACCTGCCTCTCCATGGTGCTCGTATTTTATCAGTACGGAAATCCATCCGCCCGATCGTCTGTGTTCCTTGCTGGCTGCCACAGAGGTACCCACCCGAGCCACACCTTGCATGCTGCAGAAGGAGATTGCTGAAGACCAGCCCGTCTATGCCCATGCTGGGATAGTCTCGGCTGCAACAGCCGTCCTTGTCGACATGGAGGAGAAGGGTTTGCTCAAGGTGGGGACTCAAAGTGTGCCAGGCTTTCGTGCAAAGCTTGCCGAGCCGAGTGTGTGTTCCCGGTCTCCTTTCTGCCTGGAATGGCAGCCATGACGGGTCCCGCCCACCAATCACCCCTCAGGAACTTCTTGCCGAGCACCAGCGCTGTGCTCTTCTGAGGAGGCTCTCCACGCAGTTGGGTGAACAGAGCCTGGGATTCCAATCCATGCGCCGTAGATTCTCCGCTGCCAGCCTTGTGAATGGTGCCGCACTTGATCCTCAGCATCAGCACTGGCAGCGCGGTGAGGCAGGGGGCAAGCGCATGCTTCTCATTAGATCCCATGCATCTGTGTGATGGTGACCCTGGGTTGCCACATGAGCCGGCTGAGAGCGGGGTTCCTCGAGCCAGCATAAGTTCGCGAGCACTGCCTGCAAAGGTCCTGTGGTTTACCCATGCATGTCGGCCTCCCTCCCAGTTGGTGACCTGGAAGCCTTCTTCACTCTGGACCGGCTGCGAGGCATCTTGAGGAGGAGGGAGGGGGCATCTCTGAAGCTCGCCCTCACCGGCCACTCCCTTGGAGCAGCTGTGGCCTGCATGCTCGGTCTCCAACTGCGCCAAGAGTGCCCAGGTTTGCTCGACAGCGGCCTGGTGGACCGTGCTCCCGCACTGCAGCCATGCTTGAGGTCTCTCAGCCTCCCCCCTCACACCTTCTACAGACATTCGGTGCTGGGCATTCTGCCCGCCGGGCGGCCTGATGAGCTGGAACCTGGCTCAGCTGACTCGCAGGTTCTGTACCTCGATCGTGGTGGGCAAGGATGTGATCAGCCGCATGTCGTTCAATGCTCTCAAGCGGACGGTGGACGAAATGGTCATCTGCCTTGCCAGGTGCAGGATCATAGAACATCGAGGGGCTGTGTTGGGTAACCCGGTTTGTGTTTGCTTGGGAAGGCCACCCTGGATCGGCAAAACTCCGGCTTCCAGGAGCTGTGCAGGCCTGGGCATCCAGGGACGAGGCACTGCGTCGCTTCACCTCTGCCCAGCAGAAACTTCCCCTAACAACCTGTTCCCCCTGTGTCCCTGGTCAACAGATGCCGGCGCCCTAAACTCATTGTACTAGCTGACTTTCTGCTGGGCAGGAGAGGGAAGTCCAGGGTCCCACCCACCACCCTCTGTGATATGGACAACATCCCCGACTTCACGCTGAAGATCCTTGAGAGGTGCTGGGGGTGGTGGGACTTGGATTGCATGTGCAAAACATGCGTCATACCCTTCGTGTCCGTGGCGTGGGGCGCGTGTTCAGCGACCTTGCTCTTGCCTGCTGGAGCAGGGGAGGGGTCACCACGAGAACATCAGGCTCTCCCTCACTTCTTCCAGGTGGAAATATTGTGTGCAAACGATGCGCACCCGACATCTCCCTCCCATCCACACCCCCTCCTGCCAGGTACTGCAAGACATCCTACTTTCATGATCTAGAGCAGCCTGAGCTCTACCCCCCGGGCGACTTGGCCTTCCTCAGGCCCTTCAAGCAGAGGCATATGAAAGAGTCCTTCTGGGATGCTGTTTGGATCAGTGCCAACGGTGCGCCTTTGGTTCATGGTGGTGGAGTCGGGGGGTTCGCGCATGCTGAGATTGCCGTCTTGAGGGTTTTGGTACGTAGTCTCTCAAGTGCACCCTTTTGTCTCCATGCAGACTTGGTAGGGGAGGGTATACAGGTCTCTGCGGCCATGCTCTTGCACCATAGGGTTTATAGCCTGATGGACGCCTTGGAATCCAGTTTGCAGCATGCACAAAACCTCGCTGCCACACCTGTACACTGTGAGGCGAGGCCCTCCTGAACATTCAACCTTCCTTCGTCCTCCTGCTATTCCGTGTACCTGGCAAGCTCACCGACAAGTATAATTTGTATCCACCACACTCAACCCATGGCCATACTTTTGTCGAGATGATCTCGGGAGGATACACTGGTAGCTACTGACGACCCCTACAACAATTTACCGCACCACACCCTCGAGTTTTGTGGGGGCGTGCTAGTCTCCGCGACCTGGACTGGCGCAAACAGGTTGACTTTGAGAATTTACAGAGCAAGTCCCTGTACGCCCCCTGATCCTGGGGTTTGAACGACGTGGGCGCGGTCACGGCATGGGCCACCGGTTGACGAGGAAACCACGGAACCGTAAGGTGCAGTGGCGTACATCGGCAACGGATCCTTGCATCAAATACCGTCTGTCGGGGCGTGAGATACCTCCAAAATGATCGTTCAATGGCTATTCCATACAATTGCGGACCCTGTGCTGCCAACGGCAATGCTGGCTATTTCGTGAGAAAAGCCCTCGGACGTCCCGCAGAGAGTATGGCCCACTGTTATCTGGTTGCATAACATTCGCACCCGCATGATGGTATACGTTTCCGAAGATTTTGTTTAAACGTTATATTACAACATGCCGGAGCTCCGATTGTTTAGAAGACGGTGGCACATCGCGTCAGGTACCACGTTCTGTGTGCGAGGCTTGGGCTGCATTCTGGTCGTACAGGGAACCCTGCAGCCTGCATGGCATTGTGGTCGCGGTAACGCTTGAGCCTCTCGTGAGAGTGGTGAGGTGGCAGTGAATGTTTTGTCAAGGGGCTGATCTCAATACATCCTGTGGGCCAATCTTCCGGTGCAGATACCTTCCCAATCGTAGCTTGTGTGCTGGCGTGTGTGCATGTAGGCTTCCTCATACCCTACATCTCCGGTACGTTCGAGTCCTTCTCTTAGTTTTTATCCCTGCATTGGATCTGGTTTATGATGTTGAGGCATCCGGTCGTCATGCTAGCTCGCCCTGTGTAATCTGAAACATTGAGTGAAGCACTGGGAGGATCAGTAACACCAAGCCCCTCCTGCTCCACCTGAAGGGGCCTATTCCATCGAAAGCACCGGCATCCAGAACAATTGCAGCGTCGGCACGGCCGTCAGAGTGGCTGTGTATGGCATGTTTGCCGTGATGGTGGTGGCAGCATGCCTGGAGTTTGCCATCGTCTCCATAGGATTAAATGGTGAGTCATGGATCGATGTGGCACGCACAGAATCGCGTGGAGACTGGCCCGCATCTTTATCTGGTTACTCTGTCCCAGGGAGGGGATCTTTAGACGCTCAAGGGGATGCCCCCATCCTTGATCCGGTCTGCACGATTCCTCCCCCTCCTCCCTGCAGGTGGACCCCTTGAGGAGTCTAAGCGGGCTCCCATTAAACCACTGCTCTACATTGAGTTTTTCCTCTGGATAGTCCTCCTCTCCTGGACAGGTATGGCGATGTGCAGGCCTCAGGTCCATGCCACTCTGCATTCACCCAGCACGAATGTGTGCGAAAGGGCAACCACTGTTCTTCTGCTCCACGTTCAAGGATTGAGTCTGTCATCTGTCCACCATGCCGCATCAACCCTGTTGCAGTGTATGGGACGTACATCGTCAGGAGTCCGAATGTGGGTGCCGAGTGCTGGGACAACAATCCCTGTGCCTACAGCGATGACCTTCCCGCCTCGTGCACAGGGCCCAAAGTTGCAGGTGCGTCAGCAGGAGGGGCGAGTGAACCCTCGATCACTGATCATGGTGTCGTGGGAATGGCTCTACGTTCTCAAGCCCGTGGGACAGTCCTTTCCAGTGTGGCCCCTCACAATCTTCGTTTGTGAATTGCACTTTAATCCTTGGCACCCCTTGCTCACAGGTGTCAGTACCTTGAGCCCTCCATGCAAGTTCGTCAGTGAGAACTCGCAGCAATGGCAGTACGTGTCGGCGCGCAGGGTGTGGGCTGCTTGTCGCTCCTTTCTGACTGGTTACGCCCATGCATGCGCCTCACTTCTCATAGCCAGCCAGCACCCTTTGTTTCTTGGCAATCCTGTGCAGGCTTTGCTTTACTGAGTGGGTTGTCTACGGCGTGAGCTATGTGTGGTTTGCTGCCCTCGACACAGCGGATGATTGGGACTGCCAAGTCCCGCCACCTGGGACTGAGGACGTTGACCAGTGGGTCAGCGATACCTATCTGGATGGTGAGGCTGTGATGGTGCATAGAAAGTATGGTCTGCTGCACCCAGCGGCGGGACTTGCATGTGTCCAGGACTGACAGGTCGCTTCTGCAAAGGCTCGAATGCCTGTGAGCGGCCTCGTGTGGTCTGCTGCTCATGTGGGAAGTTTTGTCCTGGATCACTTCCATGACACAAACCCGCAAGCAGGTGATTGACGAGTCTCTGAGGGCTGAAAATCTCTACCCCTATCCCCTTGCAGGGAACCTGACCCTGCTCCAGGAGATCGAGGCAGAGGGCGACGGCGACGATTCAACCCAAGTTGTCACAGATATTGATTTCACTGCGACAGGGGGTAGCAGGGCTGCGGTCGCTCTGTACAACGAGCAGGTCAAGGGCGTGGGCGCCCTCACACGTAACTTTGAGGCCGCCTTCCTGAACGCCACAGGGGTGCCCTTCAACCCAGATGCCGCGGGGGAGAGCGCCCCCTGGTTTCCGTGCCAAAACTCCACTTGCCAGAAGCTCATCCAGTGAGAAGGGACCCGACTGATGTGTGTGTGTGTGTGTGGAGTGCCCTCATAAAAATGCAAGATTGCCAGAAACAATGGTTCCTTGCGTGGCTCTTACGGATTGCAGTGGTTACAATGCTTGAGTCTGACTTCCTTTTCATCCCTCCCCATCTCCTCTCAGGAATGCGGATGAGTGCACAGAGTGGGACATCCTGCTCAGGCTCCCTGACCCATCCAATCGGAAGGCTTTCTTTGAGGGCCTGGTGTGGACGAGTTGGGGCCTCCTGGCCTTCCAAGTGTATGTAGGAGCAAGGCGGGGGGGAGGAAGGGTACACACAAAGTGCTGCAGTCACCTTGCACAACAGGGTGATGCATTCATCCCTTCTCCCTCCTGCTCCCCCAATGCAGCATCCTCGTGGTGGTGGCCTTCAATTCCTTCCCGGACTACACCGAGGTTGACAGCTGGGAGGGCAGCCTGCGACACATGAGCCGCTTTTGTTGCTGTGGCTCCATCATGCAGGAGGCTGTGCTGGACACTTCGTGAGATGGGCTGTGGGGTCCCTTCAGCACAGTTGCAAGGGACTGTGAACTACACTGGGCTTGATGCCAGAATAGTGGCCGCAAGCTCATTCTTCTGTATACACAGATCTGCTGGCAGTTTCAACCATGTTCAGCCGCACCCTCCTCATCTATAATCCCAGGGAGCCGGCTTCCCGTGAGATTGCCAAGAGTCTTAACATGTTGTTTGGAGGCATCGACCTTGACCCCACCGACCGGCTCTTTGCAGCCCTCCTCGTTGCAGAGCACCAGAGTGACCTGCGACAGCGTAGCGTGCGGCACATGCTCAGCAGAGCCGGTGCGCGGGAGGAGGTGCTGGGTGTCCTGATGTGTGCTGCGCTGGGGGGCACCTCTCGCTACATCCGGGTTTGGTGGCCATTCAAGAGGGCCATGGTGGCAGCTCCGCCACTCAACTTGTCACTTTTGCATGCAGGGTTCATCACAAACATGCAGAAGCGAGGGACCTTCATCACTGGACCTCAGCGTCGAGATGGCGGGCAACTGGAGCACTTCCCTGAACCCAGGCCAAAGCAGTCTGTGAGCTGGCACCTGCCCCCATCCCCCTTCAGCACCAAGGCCGCCGACATCCGGCCCATGTATCGCCGCACGACCCTCAAGCTGGACGAGGGGGCGTTGGAGGAGGGTGGTCATCTGGACAAGGCTGCATCGGGGACGGACTCCCCCAGCCTGGAGTGGGTGCGGGAGCAGCTGGGGACCCGCCTCACTATGGCCTACCGATATACACCCATCGTCACCCCAGTCTGCCTGCCGGCCGTGTACTGCGACCACCTCACGCCACAGGAAGCGGCTGACATCTACTCGGGTGTGTGGTGGTGTGCGATGGGCTTGAACATGCATAGGCCGGGTGGACTTCCTGGGCCATCTGTTTCCAGGCAAGCCGTAAAGCTCCAGCCGCAGTCTGCTCATCCCTGGTGCCCTCAATCATGGGGCCGGCTGAGTGGGGTGAGTGTCAAACCGGTATCTGACAGTAACAGCACCTCCTGGGTGTCTCTTGCACTGCAGGTCCTCGGGAGGGCGTCCCCACACATCAGCTGAGGCAGGCCCAGAGTATGTCCCTGTACGCCATCGCGGCGTATGGGCTGCAGAACATCGCATGGGGACGGGGAAAGTGAGTGGCTTTGGCTTGGTCAGCCGTTGGCTTACGATTTTCAGGATGAGTTGTGTTTTTTGTGTAACCCACAATCTGATGGAGGTATCCCTTCAATGAATCAGCTTGACACCTCCTTAATTCATTGCTGATCCCTCTCGGTTCGTCCCATTTGCAGGCGTCCACCCACCTGTGCTGCCAACGTAAATCTGTTCCGGAAGTGCATGAGCAAGGTGTTTCGACTCCAGAACTCGTACAGGCAGCAGAACTGTGAAGCCATCCTGGAGGTCACAGGTGAGAGGGTGGGGGATTGTCCTTGAATGAATGATCGTGCAATCGCCAGGTCTGTGTGGGAGGGCACCTGCATGACCCAGGGATGGAAGCGTCTGCATGAGCAACGTGGCAGGGCTCACAGGATCGCTACGTTCCTTTCTCCCCTACAGGGTCAGATGCCTCGGACCTGTTGTTTGTGTCATGTGAGTGGTTGCGTGGGATGTTTACATCCATGTTCCCGTTATTGCCGACTAGGGTCTCATTCCCCAGTGATCACAATTCTCCACTTCCACTCCCCTGCAGACGCCAACACTTCTGGGGGCGCCCTGCCCTACCTTGTGATGCGCCACAGGCCCAGCAACTCTTTGGTCATCTCCATCAGGGGCACCGGTGAGCTGAGTGGTGGAGGTCGACGGCTGGGCCAGCTACCTGCTTGCTATGACCGGCAAGACCGCAGCCCCAAAAGAGTAACCGACGCCCTTGCCACCACAGTGAGCATGGAGGACCTCATCACGGATCTGCTGAGTCAGCCCGTGGACGTGTCTGACTGGCTCCCCCCATGGGTCCAGGAGGTACGACTCACTGGCTTCTGATGAGCAGGGCCCAGGCTGTTGTTCTGCCTTGTCGTGCAGTGTGATGGACTCACCAGCTGCCGGTGGCATGTTGAAGGACCGTTTTGACGTGGCAACTGCTGGCAAACCACTTGCTGCAGGCGCAATCACACAAGGGCGAGTGCATGTATGCCCATGCCGGCGTCGTGTCTGCCGCCACGGCCATCCTCCTTGACATGGAGGAGAAGGGTCTGCTCAAGGCAAGTTGCACGGACGAGGCACCTCCCTGCATGCCTGTGGAGCAAGTTCTGGCGTATGCATTGATCTCCATGAGACAGGGAAAGCAATCTGTGTGTCTCTCCTACGACATGCTCATAGGAGCTATTGGCTGCAGCCAAGATGCGAGCATTGCTCAGCAGACTGTCCACCCGCTATTCTGGAGAGGGACTCCCTGGGTCACAGACCATGGACCGTAATGCGGAGCTGCCCCCCGGGAAACAGCGATCGCAGCCCCAGAAGCAAGCATGGATGACAGGTGCGGATGACTGTGGGACAGGCACCGCCTCGAGCATGCGCCTAGCACCTGTGCAGTTGAGTCTTGGGGCATATCATGCGCACTGTCTGGAGAATATGCGTCACTCGCCGGCCCAGTGTTTCGTAAATGCTCCATCGCAGGAGGCGGGAAGCTGGAGGCGTTCTTCACCATCGATCGTGTGCGCACGCTGCTGCGTCAGGAGAGCGGCCGTACCATGAAGCTGGCGGTGACGGGGCACTCCCTGGGCGCCGCTGTGGCATGCATGCTTTCCTTCCAGCTGCACCAGGAGTGCCCAGGTGGGGTGGTGGCGCTGAGGGTATGGTGGTGGTGGTGAGGATGGTGCGCTTCACTCCTGGCTTGCTGACCGTCAACGCGGAGACTCCACCTCCCTCCTGGGCACTGCAGACCTGCACTGCTGGGCATTTTGCCCTCCCGGCGGCCTGATGAGCTGGAACCTGAGCGTCATCTCCCGCCGGTTCTGCACATCACTGGTAGTTGGCAAGGACGCCATCAGCCGGCTCTCCTTCAACACCGTGAAGAGGATGGTGGACGAGATGGTGGTGTGCCTGGCAAGGTATGCAGCTGGTCTTGAATGTCTCGGAAAGTAGCCTGACTGGGCCGCAATGTGCGAGGTTGACTGCCTCCGAGCTGAGTGATGCGACAGACTTTGGGCGAGAGTCTGAGCGTCGTCATGCCAGCACCATGCCAGTCCTCCCTCCCCCCCCCCCACGTCAGATGCCGGCGTCCCAAGCTGGTTGTGCTCTCGGATCTGATCCTTCGCCGGCGTGGAGGGAATCGCATCCCACCCCTGACGCTGTGCGACATGGACGAGATCCCCGAGGATACCCTGGCCATTTTGGAGAGGTGAGCATTTGAAGGTTATTCTTACTCATTATGAAGGCAGGGCCGTCCTGGGTTGTTGCTCTGTGAAACCCCTGAGTGGTAACCCTTAGTGGTGTTTATGCTGCTCTCTTGTAGACATAGCTTCATGGTGTTTGTCAGAGCAACCGCACCCCATCTACCATTTCCTCATTGGTCAACAGGTACTTCCGAACGTCCCTTTCGCAAGGCGGCAGCCAGCCTGAGATGTACCCTCCCGGGTCGGTCATGTTCCTGCGCCCCTTCAAGAGAGGGCGCAAGAAGACGCCAGTGCAGTGGGATGCCGTGTGGATCAACGCCGCTGGTGAGTGTATGGCTGGCTGTCTGTGGCTCTTTACAAAGGTAAGGAACCCCACCCTTCATCAATCGTTCCGATGGCAATCCGTCCGTCCTCTCCAACCTTGGCACAGACCTGATTGGGGAGGGGCTGCACATCTCCCCAGCCATGATGGTGCACCACCGCCTGTTCAACCTGACAGAGGCGTTTGACAGCTGTATGGCCACAGCTGAGGTTACCCTCAAAGAAGATGCTGCCCGTACTCCTGCCACCAAGCAGAGGATCAGGAACGTCCTTGGTAAATGTTGCGTATAGCGACAATGGCTTCATTGATATTGTGTGTGTGATGATTGCCCTAATGGGAGTGTATGTGTACAAGGGGTCAGCCCTCACCCTTGACAGCTGCTTTGTGAATGGAAAGTCTAATATTGCTGGAATATCTTCATCTGACTTGCCTCAACCTTGCACCTTGTTCTCAATGCAGTGCATGGTGCGTCTGTTGATGCAAGGTTTTGTCTGGGCGGAGACCTTGCAGAAGAATGGACCACCACCGCAATCTTCCCGTCACCTCGCGAATGACGTAATTCCGGCACCGATTCCCCTCACAGCGATCGCTTTCTCTCGCGATGTCTAACTTTGACAGAATTTCGTGGTTGTAACCTCGGCACAGTAGCCTGGACGCTGAGCCGACTGCCCAACAACCCTCGGACGCTCAGCACTCTTGCCGCTCCAGTTAGCTGAAAGGGGGGGTGGCCGCATCCCGCAGGCTGAAGCACATGGCATAAAACGTGGACCACCATTACATTGTGATATGCCGGAGCTGCGCTTGTTCAGAAGACGCTGGCACATCGCGTCAGGTAACTTGATCTACCAAGGGCTGTGCTGCTCCATGTCTGGTGTATGAGTCTGTGTTCACACGAGGTGTGCTGCTCCGCTCCCGTTCGGGGCTCTTGCGATTCAACGATCCGCAGTCCAGAGGTAGCTTCAACTGCATGCTCTTGCAAATCCCTTTGGGACCCGTCCCCTCACAGATACGTTCCCCCTTGTGGCATGTGTGCTAGCATGCGTGCACTTCGGTTTCCTAATACCCTTCATATCCGGTGAGTCCAGACTCAACTTTGCAACGGGAAGAGAAACAGTATAAGATGATGGCAGCCATGTCTTCTTTCCCTCTGTACTTGCCCAAACTGTATGCAACAAAGGGTTTGCTTTCTTCATACTCCTGGCTCACTCCCCCAAACACACACAGGTGCTTACTCCATCGAAAGCACCGGAATTCAGTACAACTGCAGTGTTGGCACGGCTGTGAGAGTAGCTGTGTACGGCATGTTCATGTCCATGATTGTGGCAGCATGCCTTGAGTTTGCAATTGTGGCCGTTGGCCTGAATGGTGAGTCATGCAAGGCATCAGTCTAGACATCGATACCCTGAGGTCTGCGCAAGTGAGCATTCTGGCGCTGTCTGCTCCCTGCATGAGCTCCTTGTGATCCTGCAGTGGGGAAGTCCGATCTTCTTACCTGGCTTTGGGCCTCCCTGTTTCGTTGTCGTAGGTGGACCTCTTGAGGAGTCTAAGCGGGCTCCCATCAAACCTATGCTATACATCGAGTTTTTCCTCTGGGTCATCCTTCTCTCCTGGACAGGTATGGCAATGTGCGGACCACAGGCCAATCACCTTGTGTGATCTTCCTCCTAGGATGTGAGGATCAGGGCTCTTCATGCGCCTCACCAGTGCATTTGGTGATTCACTTTATCGTTTCCCCAGAATGCAAAATCACTGTCCCTGCAGTTTACAGTACATACATTGTCAGAAGTCCGTCTGTGGGTGCTGAATGCTGGGACAATAACCCTTGTGTCTACAGCGACGAGCTCCCCTCGGCCTGTACAGGCCCCAAAGTTGCAGGTGCAGAGGGTTAAGGACGAGACTTCTTCACGTCTGCCTTGTTTGCCACAGCACATCGTATCATACACCTGCCATTGCGTGCAGATACCTTGTCCAGGACATTGCCTTAGGTCGTGCACGGTTGCCTTCATTACCACACACTGGTGCTTCCCCTCACAGGTGTTAGTACCCTGAGCCCTCCATGCCAACTCGTTAAAGAGAACTCCGTGCAGTGGGGGTGAGTGCTGCGTAGAGATGGGGCTGCCCACCACACTTCATGCACTCACCTTTAATGCTTGAACAGCACTCCTTGGCTTTGATCACGTATACTCCGCCCGCCGGGTGTGCTCCTGCAGGATCTGTTTTGGAGAATGGGTCTTCTATGGTGTGAGCTATATCTTCCATACAGAAGTATTCCCTGAAAGCCAATGGGAATGCCCGGGCCCGCCACCAAGACCAGAGTTTTTTGACCAATGGCTGGCCGACAAATATCTGGATGGTGAGGCTGTGATGTATCGGTGCAGGGTCTGCATGTATGCTTGTGCTCATTATGTTGTGGAGGGCCCAAGGCTGTCATCAGGTCAGGGAGATTTCTGCGATGAGCACTGTACGTGCTCCCAGATCAGTTTGGGCCATCCACATTCTAGGGCTGATTTTCATTCTGCCAGTTACAAGGCAGGTAGGTATGAGCAGGACGGGAGCCTGAATTGGGTGATAAAGGCACGCACACGCCCCTCCTTTGCAGGTAACATCACGTTGCTGGAAGAGCTTGTGGCACAAGACGCCGATGTTGGTCAGAAAGAGCTGATAACGAACATCGACTACAGCGCAACGGGCGGGAGCAGATCTGCGGTGGCGTTGTACAACGAACAGATCAGGGACGTGCGATCGCTCACCCGCGAGTTTGAGATAGACTTCCTGAATGCCACCGGGGTGCCTTACGACCCAGCCGCAGCAGGGATCAGCGCCCCATGGTTTCCTTGTCAAAACACTACCTGCCAGCAACTCATCCAGTGCGTGAGGCGATAAATGGTTGCGGATGTGCATCGGACAGTACATGCCATCGCTAGACTTGGCCCCTTGATACGATTTGCTGCCATGCATCAATCCCCACAAGGCTTCACAGCTGTTG